CTGTATTATATTTAAGGAAATTAAATAATGAAGAATCTGCATAAATGTATGTATGTTTCTCGCATTTTGATAAAACAACAGTACCTATAAAGCCATCAAATTTTGAATAACATAATCCTCCTGTGAATACGGACATCTGGAAGCTCAAATTTGAAATTTTGAATTTGTTTTATTATCGATTTTATATTTCGTAAAACTTTAACGAATTTTTGATTAACCAACTCAAGAATTTCAAAGCGAGCAACGTTGTGCTGAAAAAACATTTTTATCACCAACGCGTGAGACTATGTATCAGAAATTCTAAAGATAAAATCATTTTTAAATTATTTTGCGATATTGCTCTTGAACTGAATTTTATGGTTTAAGTGCGAAGAATATGGTATTTAATAAATAAAGGTAACATATTAAATGTTAAAAAAATGCCCCTTTGAATGTAATTTAAAATCTGAAACATTTCATTTTTTTAATAATTAAAATTTGTATTTTAAAGTATGCTTTTTTTGAAATGTTGACAATATTTGCCAGCTTGTGAATGTTTAAAGTTTGGGAATGCTTTTTAAAAAAAGTTGCAAAAATCGCCAAATTGCATTCCATAAATAATTTTTACTTTTTCATTTGTAAAAAATCCCGTCTTTTCACCAAGTTTGTGATACACAAGTATCTGTCCATCTTTACAGTTTTGTTTTGCATCAATAAAGTCAAAAAGGGATAATTTTCTGATTTTTTTATTATTTATTTATCTTGTACCATACAAGAAAACATTAACAAATCTTGTGAAAGATTTTTTTAAATGTGTCTCTTCTGGCTAAAAGTATAGTAGATAAAAGTACTTTTTTTTATTGGATTTACCACAGAAATTAACAGATTTAATTATATGTCTAACTTATTGCCCTCCCCCCCATCTGCAACAAATTTCATCAAATGATCATCATCTAATGAATAAATAAATAAACAAAAATACAAAAATTACACTCATAACTGCAAACATAAAATATTTTTATACATGTAGCTGCTGTGAATGCTATGGAAATATGTCTTGTGACAGTGAATACCAATACTGCATCAATGCAAGATAGTCGTCATCAGTATTTTCACACTCAATAACATTATTTTCTGAATAACTGCTATTATATTCTAAATTTTTTATCAAAGCTAAATAATAAATCTTGTGTACTATTTATGATGATATAATACAGGCTTGGCTCCAGCATTTTTGACACTCTAAGACGGCTGTATATAAGCCACCATGTATAAATTAAACATATTAGCAAAATAAAGCAAAACGTGACTTGTGAATCTAATTTAGCTGGCACCCTCTGAAAACCAGCTGCCTATTTCGCCTGTGCTTGGAGCCAACTCTGGTACAATAAATATAATGTATAGCATATGACAACAAATTAGAATATATGATATAAATCTGCATCATAGGGAATGAATAGAAATATTCTGCAGAATGTCTGGGCACAAATGGTAAATGGTTGAAGAATGCAGACTGGTAGTGACAATAGAAGGAATATGTAATATGCATCTTCTTGGTTTTCTTGAGAGAAATATGTACAGAACTATGTAAGCAAACATATTAATGTAAAACCAAAACTTAAATTTGGATGTATGGAAAAATTTCAGTTCAGAAATGAAAGTTAATTTGATCAAATACATTAAGGACTTCAAATATTTAATCTAATTTTGGTCAATCTAATTTTTTTCAAAAATCATTTTCAGTTATTTCTAAATATTGACAGACTCAAAGCCTCTGAGCTTGCATATTTAAATTTCATGTGCATTTATAACTAATTTTTGATTTTGAGAGATCATGTAGACAAACTTCATTCAATATTTCCAAGAAATACAAATTCAGCATGTGAGCATGCACATGTGTAAATGTATGTGCATAAGGGTAGAGGAGGGAGAGAAAATGCTTAAGAATTTTTTTTTAAATGTATATCTTAAATTTTTACTATTTTGTTGCAGATTGAGATTTTAGTTGAGCTTGGAGCAGAAGAACTGAGACCTCTAACACTCAGTAGCTGTTATGCTTCTGACCATCCTGGAATGCATTTGGAAATCTTTCCAAAGATCATATTTGATACAGCTGAGCTTGACTTATCAGAAGATGAAATCAATTTGCCAAAATCAGTCTTTCGTCAGACAATTGATCAGAGTACTTTGGTTTGTATAATAAATATTTTATCAAAATGTGCTGGAAAAAACATTAAAATAGAAAAAATGTTGCATCTTTTTTTTACCTTAAAATTAATATATATATATATATATATATATAGTAGTTTGCATTTAAAAGCAAGTATAAAATAATTCTTCATCTGGCTGTTTCCTTTATTTTTTCTAACACCTACAATTCCACTACTTACGAATTTTAAGTAAAGCAACTTGATTTGTCACATAATACTAATGTTATTCTTTATTACTTTTAACTTTTGTATGTATGAGACTATTTTTTTTCGAGGTCTAATTGGTTGCAAAATGAAAACTCCCATGAAAATCCAATCATGTTGTGTACAGGTGTGTTGTGCAGTGTCTCTAGTAAGCCCATCGATCGCATCAGGTCATAAACATGTCTCAAACAATAGTCTCTCCTGCCAAGTGTCAAGTGCATACTGGTATTTGATTTCCACATGCTGAGGGGTGCAATGCAGCCAAATTTCATTGAAGAATGAGTATGGAAAAACTTTCATGAGTGACAGCAAAGTGTGGTAGTGAAGCAGGATGTTCAGACATTCATAATACAGGGCAGGCAGGGAAAGAAGTGAGTGCCAACCTATAATCTTGTTTAGCGAGTGGTTCAAGTGATTTGAGAAAATCATCAGTTTACAAATTCTATGTTGAGTGAATCATTTTCCAAAATTTCACAGTCAGCTCTTTTATATCATCATCATTGATAGACTCTAGTACCACAAACTGTATAAGGTGGATTCCAGAGATGTTGTCTAACCATCACTTAACTCAGCGAATGGAAGCATTTTAACATTTCTCCAATGCTACCATGATGAAGGAGAAGATTTTTTTTAAACAAAATTGTCACAGGGAGACGAGATATGGGTCTGTTTCAAAACTGAAGAAATAAAAGAACAATCCAAACAGTGTATGCATACTCGTTCCTCAAGAAAACCAAAGAAGTTCACGTGAACCTTCTTTAGCAGAAAATATATGGCTACTATATTTTGGGACTGAAAAGGTGTTCTCTTGGTGGAATTCATGGAGCATGGCATGACCTTCATTGTAGCCTAATACTGCATTACTCTTGAACATCTGTGAAGGGTAGATCAGAACAAAGGCAGAGGAATGTTTCATCAGGCATAGTCCTTCTTCATGACAATGCATGGCTGCACTACTACAGTTGGAATGAAGATCCTCTTGCAACAATTTTGGTGGGACGTGTTTGATCACTCGCCATACAGCTGAAACATAGCTCTCTCCATTTACCATCTGTTTGCTCACATGAAATGCTGACTAGAAGGACAGGAATTTGGCTTAGACAACGAGCTGCAGACTAGTGTAGTGAATTGGCTGAAAGCACAGGCAGCTGCCTTCTTTGACGAGGATATAGAAGAGTTGGTACCACGCTAAGACAAATGTCTCAGTCAGAGTAGCTGCTATTTAGAGAAGTAGTTGGATGGTGTATCTAAATATTGTAAGTAAAACAATTTTGTTTTAACTGTAGTTTTCATTTCGCGACTAATTCGACCTTGAAAAAAATAGCCCTTGTATATTTATTATATCATACTAATATGTCCAGCTATCTTGCATTCCTGCTTGATTCAGTTTCTAGAATAAATAATTGACTATAAAACTATACATGTTTTTTGCCATTATATAGCTTTTTGAAACCATCAAGTAAGTTATTTTATCATTGATACCACCTTCTCAATCAAGAGTGAATTAAAATAAAGCCTCTACTTAAAAGCAAATTTGGAATATTAAAATTTATGTAATTTTTAAAGGCGATAAGATTGATATTTTCAGCAAATTAAAGTTCTGAAGACTAAAGCCCCATTCTTCCTAAGACTTACTTATGAAAATTAGTGTGTTTCTATTTGTCCTATTTCTCTAATAATTTAATGTATTTGAAATTTGATAAATATTATGTTAAATAAAATAAACTCATTTATAATTTTATAAACACATATTTGTGTTCATTACAATTCAAAAATCAAATCTTTCCTAGTATTTCACAAATGTTCCCAATAATTTTTCATTAATAGAATTAACAGAAGTTCATGAAATACAGTAATCATTTAAAATTTTTATCTAAATTGAGAAACTAAATTTAAAAATATATCTATGTATTAAAAGTATTCCTTTCAATTTAAGTATGCTATTATAATATAGGGATTGTATCTTTATATCAATGCATAAATTCTCTGATGCAAATGTTTTCCAATTTTTGACTTTAGGCATCTGTTGAATTTGCATCCAGTAAAGCTCAGACTACAAAAAATAAATTACTGAATTCATGGACCCAGTATGAGCCTAGGTTATTCAGCAAAGCAGAAACAGCCAGCATTGAGCAAAAATCATCGTATAAAACATATCTAGTCTCTGCTGAGAAAAGGTAGGAATTTGTACAAAGTTCTTAAATTTAAAATAATTACCATATGAAGTTAGGCTTTATGCAGTGATTGGTAAAACTATATTTCTATATTCTACATATGATTTATCTCTGTTTAAAATAATTATTATATGCAAGTGGGCATTCTGTTTCAATGATAATTTCAAATGTATTCCTTATCTTCATATGATTTAAAACGAATTATGGTCCTAATCTGTGCTTTTGTAATGTATTTTTTAGAGTTAAAAGTGCTTTGATCCAAAATAGTATTGCAGATCACTTTTTAAGGGACATTGGTTCCTTGTATGATGATGAGTCAGATTTACAACAAGATAAAAGTTCATCATTTTTAGTAAGCTATTATTTATTAATCTTCAATTGTATATAAAATATATTTGACAATTTAGAAAAGAACTTTATTCATGTTTTATAGCTTAATGGCTCATTTTCCTGCTTTGAAAACGATCAACAAAGAATGATAAAGAGTATAGATTGGCATCCATTAATCAAAGGTATGATCTGATGTCATGTGCTAACAGTTATTTTTAACAATTTTTACTGTAATAAAGTTTAACAGAATTAGAATTTGTTGTATATTTACTTTTGCATATATTGTTAAAAAACCCAGTATTTAGTTAAGCTTTACTGACAGTTTTATTTTCTCTTTAATTAAAAAATACTGTTTCACATATAATATAATTTGAACTTAATGTTTTTGGATAGTGTAATGCAGAGGTTCTCAACCTTTTTGGCTCATGCACCCTTTTCACCACTGCTAGAAGATCATTACACCCTCCTTTACAAAACTCTAAAAGTAAATATATACACTTAGCTATATTTAGGTAGATTTTTAATGTGTTTTATAAATTGAGCAACAAAAAATGTAGAAAATGTTAATAAATGTCAGAACATGAATAAAAGTAATATTTTATATTGGTAAATTGAATCTAAATTCTTAACATCTGCATAAATGACTAACCACATCCCCCTGAATCTATGTAATCCCCCCTGGTTGCTAACCCCTGGTGTGATGTGATAAATCATATTATATCAATGTTTCATGTAAGCTGCATTTATGACTTGTGCTGATTTTTGCAAAATAGCATACAGTTTCTTACTTTCCATACATACAGCCAACTGCAAGACATCTACATGCAGAATATTCATTATCTACTATATGTACCTAATCTTACTTGAAAATTGCTTTCTGCATCATGCCTATGTGATATGATGCATTTCTGCATCATATCAGATAGCTATCAGAAGCTTCCCAGACCATGGTTTTCCGGCATGTAGATACTCTAAATATATGGTAGCCAAAAGTCCTTTCATATGGTTTGGTGTAGGGAAGAGGGGTGGGAGACCCATGGACCAGCCCAAGGTGCTCTCCCTCAAAATTGTGTTGGAAGTAGAAGGTCCAACCTCCAGGCTAACAAGAAATGTGATAAGTTTAGCATGAAAACATAATGTATAAATAATATAATAATGTATAATAAGCAGAATTGGTCCTTGTAGCCTTAGAGAAGTCATGTTGTCAATTACTACCATGTATTTTTTCTTTGTATTTTTTCTTTTTGTAAATTTTTGAGAAGCATTGAAAGTCTCAATGGCAGAGCTACTGTAAAAGATTCATTCATTTTCAAAATGCCATATATTCAAAAATACTACGCTTAGATATTTGAGTAATATTTGAAAAAACCACAAATTAACCAAGTTTTCTGCACACTTTACATGCCCCCTGGATCACACAATGTATAATCAGGGCATAGTTTAACTCATTCTACACAGTATAGCATCATGTCATCAATGATCATCACTGATTGCAACATTGATCCATTCCTTGAGCTCTTCTGATGTTTTTTGTAGTGAGGATACATAAGCAAGGTCCTTAATGGGCCCCCAAAACAAGAAGTCACAAGGTGTTAAATCAAGTGATCAGGGAAGCCAAGGGAGCAAAATGAAGGTCAACCTCCAGCAACATTCCCAATCCAGCGATACACTTCAGGTATCAACAAACTTGAATGTTCCTACAAAAGGATGCTCCATTCCACTAGATGACAAAAATCCCTTGAATTAGCAACCAGTTGCAGTAACAACCACAACTGCTACATATCCAGGTATCTTACACCAGTCACAGTCTTGGTATACAAACTTGGTAAATTTGCAGTTCTTTTCAAATGTCTCCCATGTTTGTACATATGATACTTCTGAATATATATCATTTTGAAAATGAATTATTATTGCATTGTAACCCTGTATTTTGTGTAGTGTTTTAATGGATTTTATATTATGATAATATGCTAGTAAAATTTGTTTAATAATAATTTAATAAAAAAAGATGGTATGAAATAATAATGATCAAGAAGATAACAGTTTTATCAGTTTCAGATACATGATAATTTATAAATTTTGTATGTACAAAAGCACAATAACTTTTGGATTTTGCTTTCATGACCTGCTAATTTGTGTCTGGGGCAGATAATATGCAGAATGATCCAAAATACAAAGATGAAAATTCCTTTTTCTTCATTCTGTAAATTAATAATTCTTTGCACATCATTTTAGGCAGTTGTCTCCAAAAATTACCAGATTCTATATTTATACTAAGATATTATACAATTTTGGTTTGAGAATGTTCCCCCCTCCCCTTTTACTGGATTACTGAGTTTTTTTACTCTGGATTCATCAAGAGATGACTTTTTTCCTTCAAGATAGAGATGTTCTTTATAAAGAAGGATTGTGTTTGAATAACCACAACATGAAATTGCAATGTGAATGAAAGCCAGAATGGCTTGCAGCCTTCAGTGATAGTGAGAAAACAAAAGAAGGCATCAGGATACAAATGTGGTTTACTGAATCATATATTCCTTTCGTTACTGATTTTGTGTAATGCATTTAACTTACAATATCAGGAGTTAACATCTATTGAATTTTTCAGAACTAAACCTTGATTCAAATTAATCAAGATGCAATGATTGATTGCAATAACTTTATAAGAAAGATATGTGCCAATTCCTTTTTATACTGTCCTAACATTTAAAGTGATAGATGTTACAAAATTATTGAAACTGATGAAAACTTATTTACAAAAAAGGAAAAATAATAATGTAAGCCCTTTTTTCTGTCACAGTAGGCTTTTGGAGGATTTTGTCATGAAATTAGAGATTGCTTCTCGTTGCTTGTTGCTGTACCCAGTTGTTCTGTTTTATCTAGTATCAAGTCAAAGGCTTGAGAGTAAATGAGGAAAAAGAACCCAATATGGCTTCAAACATGCATGTTATGTCTTTAATAGGAAAGCACCAAACAAAGTAAAATAACTAAAAAGATCTAGTTTCGTTTAAAAATAGTGAAATAATAATATATAATTCGAAAAAAAATATTTAATAGTATGTAATTTTATCTCAAGATCACAGTCTGTCATTTTTGCTGGTTAAACAAATAGAACTGTGTTTATAACAATGATTCACAGCAATGGGATTGGAATGCTTACAGTTTTTAATTACAAGTGACTCTAAATGTTAATTATTGGGAGCCAATAATTATAGATTTTAAAATGAGTAGGAATAAATAATGGTGTATTGCTCAACTTAATGTAAAATATGGTTGTACTCATAATATTCTAATTGAGTTCACATGGTTTCACAAAATGTTATAAAAGACTATCTCAGGAACAATAACCAACAATTAATATACATCCATTTCTGTAAAATGAAAGATTTAAGCTGGAGCATTTTGAGGTATTCTAAGTACATTTATGATATAATAATATGTTTGAATAAATTAAATCATTCTGATCTCAAAGAAGATGGGTTTGTAAGTAATTTACATTAGCTGCACATTAAAAGACTTTGTAAGGATGCTTTCATAAGGACCTTCTACAAAAGTTAGCTGAATTTCACTTTTTCCATGAATCCAAATACAGATTACTAGCATTATTTTAGTTGTGCATCTGTGTTGTTTGTTGTACATCTAAAAAGCATTTAAAAAAATTATGAATGAGGATTGTATAACTGAAGATGTGAAGAATAGCTCAAAATTGAAGAAGTATGTTGGTTATGAAAGAAATCAGAAATAAAAAAAGTTTTGAAATACACTCATGTCCAAAATTATCTTTACATACCCAAAAATGATGATATTTCAATGAAATATCGAATCAATGTGATCCGTATTTGCAGGGAATGTGTGAAAAACCAAGCCTAATTAGCATTATCCAATCAAAAGTAATCAAACGGTTTGTGATATGCAAATCTAGGCGTTACGTCATCCAAGGGTGAATCAAGCCCTTTGCGCAAACTGAATATTTGAGTGAATTTGTGCAACATAGTGTTTGATTTCAGCGTGTAGGGACTCAAAGCGGTTTGTTATGGCTTCGAAGTATCATTTGGAAGAATCTGTAAAGTGGCGAATTATCGGCCGTTTAGAAGCAGGGCAGTCAATCATGGAAACAGCCACATGTCTGAATATTTCAAGACAGACAGTTTCTAAGCTATGGAAACAGTTTCAAAATCATGGAAGTGTTGTAAGGAGGCCTGGACAAGGTCGGAAACGAATGACAACTGCTTCTGAAGATCGGTATCTGGCATTAACTGCCCGTCGTAACAGAAAGGCTACTGCTCGCCAGTTAAGTTCAGAGCTTGCAGCCGCCACTGGAACTGTTGCATCACGGCAAACAATATGCAGAAGGCTTAATGAAAAAGGCCTTTATGCCAGAAAGCCAAGGGTATGTGTTTTACTGTCTTCATAGAGGGATCGCTTTAATTGGTGTAAAGAACATTAAAACTGGACTGAACATCAATGCTCCCATGTTCTCTTTACGGATGAGTCGCGGTTTAGTTTAACTGGTGATTCTAAAGGTGTTTACATCTGGGGGGAGTCAGAAACACGAAATGATCCCTCGAACGTTGTGGAACGTGACCGTTTCGGTAGTGGAGGTGTGATGGTATGGGGTGGAATAATGATCAATGGACGTACGCCCCTACACGTGTTCAGCGGCGGATCTGTGACAGGCCAGATATATCGGGATGAGGTCTTAGATCCTTATGTAAGACTTTTCAGGGGTGCATATGGACCTGACTTTTTATTTATGGATGATAATGCCCGTCCACATCGAGCAAACCTCGTTGATGAATTCCTTGAAAGTGAAGACATTAAGCGAATACCTTGGCCACCAAACTCTCCTGACCTAAACCCGATAGAGAACTTATGGGACTACCTTGGAAGAGCAATTGCACGTATACATCCTTCTCCTAGAGATGTAAATGCTCTGAAGACGGCATTGCTGGAAGAGTGGAGATTAATTCCCCAAACTGTGGTTAACAACGTTACATCCAGCCTTAAAGCACGTTGTGATATGTGTGTAGAAGTCAGGGGAGATCATATTCCATATTAAATTCGTAAGACTTAATTCTTTTTCTGAAACATTCCTTTTTTTCTTAACTCTCTTTGTCACACTTTATTACCATTTTTATTGTTTCATGCTACAATTTTATATCATATGAGGTGATCTTCAATTTTTTCTCTTGCATTTATGTGTCATCATGTTATGTATGATTCCACGAAAACTCATTAAATTATAAGTCATAGTCTCTGAGAAATCCGTGAATTTATGCATGTAAACATAATTTTGGACATGAGTGTATTTATAACATTTATAAGGTTGGAAAACAGAATAGAGGATGATGTAAAGAAATATTTCAAATATAAAGTTTACATAATTTTGAGGGAGAGGAAGATTTATCTATATGTAAATGTAAATAAAGATTTCTTCCCTTAATTCACTGATTCAAGTTTATTTATACAATTTTTACACTTGGATGTATACTCCTATAGCACTGAGCATTTTCTTGACTTATATGCTTTTATTGTTTTAATATTGATATTATTATTTGATTTTCATTATATATATGAGATTTATATATATATAGAGCTTTTTCAAAAACAATTATATTACATATTTGTAGTAAATATGCCATTTCATTCCTTCTTCCTTCTTACTCAGATTCGTAGTAATTTTCCCATTAGTTTTGTTGCACCTAATTATCCAACTTTTTTATTATCCTGACCTACTTCTGTTTCAGTTCATTAAGTGATTTATAATTCTATCCAAATGTTGTTAACTTGACTAAAGGAAAAATAAATTTACAGATATCTTCCTTGCATCTACAATATCTAGATTGAGATATGAAGAAAAAATTCATAGTTCTCACCTTGCATGATGATGCTACCAGGTTTTATATTTGGAGTGCTAAAAATCAATTTTGTTATAAGGTAGAGTTTTTATTATCCTTCAATTAGAATGTGTCTAATTGGAAATTATGTTTGTCATTCTTACATGTTTTTTTCCTAATATTTATGATTAAAAATGTAAAACTGTATAATTTTATCTATTCTGAAAACCCTAGATATGTTCTTTACAGGCAGTGTCAATTAAAGGTTGTATAAAATTATTTTCAATTACATAAAAACAACAAGCATACAAGTACTTTAAATAATGTATGGAGTCACCCTTTGCTGAACTGGAAGACATCATGTTCTTGCTGTGTTTAATGCTTTGAAGAATTTTAACACTAAGGAAAAGCCCCTCAAACAAGAAAGTTAAACTCTCATAAACTGATTACATCTAGTATCAAATCTAAAAAAATTCATTAAAGTATTAAATCCGAATAAAATTATTAAATTCTGTAAAGTTACTAAAAATATGTATTTAGATCTTAAGTCAAATGAAAGTTACAAATTTAAAACCTTTTCCAATAATTTTGGAGAAAGAATTCAGTAAGTTCTACTTCAAAAGCAAAGTGAGAAATAAATAAGGTCTGTAACTACACTGCTGGCCATTAAAGTTGTACCAGGAAAAAAGCAAATAAGCAGAATCTTATTTATTGTTCATATGTGCAGTGTAATGGGAGAAAAATGAAGGTTGTTTGGGATACACAGCATGTAGAATTTAGTTCACAAATTTTCCACTTTGACAGTAATAATGGTTTCAATCCAGCTGAGTGTCAAGTTGAGCTGAGCTTAGATGACAGATTCAGATACAGTACAAAGTCTGAAAACTGTACTCATCGGGACATCAGCGATTCCAGATTTGGGATTTTTCCAGATATTAGATCATCAGTTTAAATCTAGTAAGATGACATGTAGAAATTATAAAATTAAAAATATGAAATCTTGATTTATGAAATAATGAAGTATTTATGATGTAAGGGGTATTGAAATTTAAAAAAAAAAAAAAAAAAAAAAAGCTTAATATTAATTTGTTTACTTTATTAAACATTTCTTTCAATGTAAGTTGTTTTAAGTTGCTTTTTTTTTTTTTTTTTTTTTTTGTGTGTGTGTGTGTGTGTGTGTGTGTGTGTCAAGTTATATTACTGTGTGTGGTGTGTGTGTGTGCTAATACTTTCTCTGTAATTTATTAGATAGAAATAATCTCTTGTTTAGTTACATTGTTGAAGTCCTGTAACTGCTGTGTCGAGAATTCCGTCTCACTTGTCAATCGAAATTGTTTTGTTTTCAGTAACTTCTCTATCACTTTCTTCACTATTGGTAGTGGTATTTTCTGGATCTAGAACTATACTACAGGTTTTGCCATTTATTAATTGAGTAATGATTGAAAAGCATTGTCATCTTAATGAAAAACTTCTTTTATATCATCATCATTTATTACCTCTTCTCCACATTTCTTTACAAAATCTGTTAATTGGAAAATTTCGCCTTTGTTTTGCCATATCCGAAAACCTTTAAAATTTGTGGCTATCATTATCAAATTTAGCTGTTGTTCGCTATATATATTTGGCTATGCATCATGACTAACGACAAATTGTTCTGTTAAATTTTATCTAGCTTCTATCACGCACTGAGACAATTAAGCCTGAATTGTATTAGTTTAGTTATTTATTATACTTATGTCTATTTCTTGCAAATTCTTAAGGCTTATCAGAGTTTTGAATAAATAAACTCCCACATATACTTAAACCTTATCGAGGGCCGGTGCTAGATATCTTACCGCCTGATGCAGTCTCTGTTGGTCCTAAATTCTGCGACTCAGTGCGGCCATACGAGCCCTGGTGCTGGTTATGGGTTTATGTGAATAACAAATCATTTATTCTTAATTCAAATAGCCCTAAATGTAATTTTTGGGTCTATGAATATTATCAAAAAAATCTGTTTTTAGCATATGGAAAGAAATTTTTAGTAAATTTTTCCTTGTCAACATTTTTTAGCGCATTTAACTTAAATCTGTAAGCATCGCCAAGCATAATGTCAACATAAAAGGTTACCATACTCCTTTATTATTCAATTACTAACATAAAAAAATTCTTTAGGCATCACTACATGAGTCATTACTCAAGTTGTTATGTTATGATAAACATGTGATGATGAAAGGAAAGTATAATAAATAATGATTCGCCAGGTTGGCGTCAAATCAATGATGTATCTATGTGGAATGTTTCAGTTTGAGATGTGTGCCAAGCAGATATGCAGCAATGGAACTAAATTACTGATCATGCAAATTTATGCTAAAATGATTGTTTCTCCAATAACAAGGTATTTTATTTAGTGTCGAAGTGAAATTAAGAATCGGGACTCTCCAGATGTTTTCTTATGTGCGGAGAGGGGGAATTAAATGTGCATGCGTAAAGCCTATGAGAAAAACTTTGTTGGTTTTCTTGAGGTCCGGATTTTAGATCATTCTGGATTTCGGACTTTGTACTGTACTTCATTCCATGCGGCTTCGACACACCACAGTTTATAAATGATAATGGCTAGCGAGCTACTCTCTCGGCAACCCATGACTAGATAGTGGACAGACCTGGAGAATGTGCCAGATAGGAAAACAGTGGAACACCCTTTGTATCAACGTAGGTCAGAACAACACAGGCAGTATGGTGTTGTACATTATCTTATTAAGAGATGACATCATGCAAACCTCAAAGATAGGGCATAGCCACAGACCTTAACACAACAGAAATGTAATTGTGGCTGTCCACATTACTGGCTATGCAAAAAGAGGTGACCAGGATTCGTATGCAATGGTGCCCCATACTATGCATAGTGCTGGGCCCATGTGATGATGATGATGATGAATATAAGCTGTCAACATTCATTCTCCTCTGTGCCTCCGTGCATGCATATGTCCCTAATGATGCTGTTCGCAGAGCTAAGATTCATCTGAAAAGATGATGTGATGCAATGCCAATCCTGTGTCCATTTGAAATGATGTAGCAAAGCATGGAATCCATTTCTTAATGATTTTGAGAATTACATCAAAGGCATTATTTGTGTCAAGTTATATTTATCATTTGACCTTTTTGGCGGGATGACCATTATACTGACCTTGGTATTTCCTGTTTGAAAGGATGGGGATGTCCTCTTTAATGGTCATGTCTTTTTCTCCCATTTCCAAGCTGAAAGGATGGAATGAACAGTCATTCCATCCTTTCAATAATGTCCTTGGAGTCTTAACCATTTGTTATTTTCAAAAGATCTGTGTGTTAAGGACTGGTTTTCCCTATCATTCCTTCCCTTTTCATTCTTGCAGCTTATGAATAATAACAGAAGATAACCTCATTCACAAACAAACAAATAGGGCCTTGTGCTTCTTTGAAACATTCTTTTATTTTGGGGAGATTTCGGGGAATCAATTTTACTTAATTGTAAACAATATGCTGAAATGGGAAAGGAGCTTGACTGAAGAAAAAATATGAAAGCTTCTGTAAGAGTTGGTGAAATGTTAAATTATATAAAAAATGTGTGCTATAAACTATATATAGCACACACTTTTTCCCTTCTGATATAAAAGCTTTTTGCTACAAAGAATTTGCAATACGAAATATACAAACAATGTATGGTACATGTCATATTTGGACTAAACACTGTATGTTTTAAATTCTTGTCAGTTTTCACCCAAATTTTTAACGTTTATTTAAAACATGAAACTTTAACATTTCCATATGGTTTAAGTTTTTAATAATTTATGTAGCATTATTTTTTAACCATTCTTTCCATGGAAAATTTTTTAAAGGTTTCAGATAATTTTAATAAAATATGTAGCAAAGCATATTAAACATTGCAAGGAAATATGACAGTAAATGATGTTTCTGTTTACTGTAACGTTTCGTGATGTTTCTTTGTTTATGAAGCTAGGAATGTTTGTAAATTTAAGAAAACAAGTTCTTGAAATCTATGAAAAAAATTTCAGATGCATTAAAAAAATTGAGATGGAGACCTGTTAAATAAATAAACAAACTAAGAAATATTGGTAAATTTTATAACATAACTTTAAAATATAATAGAATTAACTTTTGTTGCCACTTTATAAAGGCACTTAATTTGGTGAGCTAAATTAAAATCATTGCTTAAAATCTCAGACTTTTTTTAAAGAAAGGTATGTTCTTTAATATGAATGGAAATTTACATTCTCTTCTGCTTATTACTAAGCAGTGTCTGATTTGGAATCAACTGCACTTTAAAATTTTGCCTCCATAAGGAAAACCATTTTGTAGTTTAATCAATAATAATCCCGACATTTTTCTTCCTTTTGTAAAGGAAATGCACCTCTTTCAGGAAGAATCAAACTACCTAAAAAGGCTACTGTTGCAAATAGCAAGGGACTTCTTGAAAGGGGGGGAAGCATAAGGTACAAAAAACCCTGTTCTTTTTTAGTTTTTACAGGTGTCAAATCCCCTACCTCAAAAAGTTGATAAGTATGCTGATAAATTCTATGATGAACTTAAATTTATATTGTATCAACCTAAAATTTAATTTCACTTAATATACAATGTGTGCTCATAAAATAACCTGACAAATTAAAAGACTGAATGATAAAAAAAAAAGTGAAAGAATAAATGAATGTTTAGAAAGAGTAATATCTCAACTCTTGTTAAAGCCAATTTTTAACTGGTTATTTTGTCATTTTCATATGAAAATGCCAGTGTCATTTTCATTTACTGAAAACACACACACACACACACACACAAAAAAAAAAAAAATGCTTCGAGATGGATTATAACTAATTCAGAAATCAAACAACAAAAATCACCGTTATATTTACAAAATTTTCACAGGACTAGTTTCGATGGTTTTACCGAACCACCATCCTCAGCTGCAAAACCGCAAATGGTTTTTGTTGTTTGACTTCTGAATTAGTATTTATTTGGCATGTTATTGTGTCTTATATATGGATTATAACATTAAATTTACTACAAATTAGGTAAATCTGCTGCTGAAATGTTAGAGATGATTCCAGCAGCATATAGTGATGCATCATAATTAAGAACACAAGTGTAGAGGAGGTACAACTGCTAATACAACTATAAATGTGAGTGTGGTGCAACTATAAATGTGAGTGCAAAAGCATTAAAGATGAAATAGAAATAGGACACCCTTTTAGCTTCAGATGTTACAAATATTTTGTGAATGGTTAGCTCCAATGTCTATAAACAGTGCTTCAGTGACCTGAAGAAATGCTAGAAAAAATTGTATCAATAGCTGTGGCAATTATTTTGAAAAAAATTAATTTATTTGAAAGGTTAGCTAATTTTTTCTTATTTATAAAAAGTTATTCAGTTACTTTATGAGCAAAACTTGTACCTTTGTATTTTATCTATTTACTCATTTATCTGTGCTTAAAATTAAGAAGGAAAAAAAAAAATTAGCTTGTCATAGATTTTGAAGCCATTGTTTATGATCTAAAATAAGTTATATAAATGTTATGTTTGAACACTATCCATATGAAGAATAACATTTCTTTCTATGAGAAAGTAACTCACAGATTCCTGTTGCCTTTCTTTTTTTCCTTTGTAATATGCTTTTTTTTAATAAAATTCTGAATTTTTTCTTTGATAAATTAATTTATAATTATTTTCTTTAGCTTTTACTGGAATATCTTGATGATATCTTTATTTTCAAATTTAATTCTGTTATGCCTAACTTAATTGCTGGTGGTAGCATAACAGGACAATTAATATTATGGGATTTACAAAATGTGAAAATAGCTTCTAATGAAATGGAAATTAAAGTAAGTCTTAGTTAGAATTCTTTGATTTTTATGTAAATTCTGCTTATCACTTTTATACTGTCAGTTTTTTTTTTTTTTTTTTCAGATTTTTTATGTTTATTTATTTATGATAAAGAAACCAACTTTTAAGTGAAATTTTAATTTTCAGATGGCAAACTAAAATATATTGTACATCAGCAATGCCTGTTAGACAGTACAGTGTAACTTTGGAACAAAAATAAATTGGTTCATAAAAATATTTTCTGTATGAAAAATGTCTTGGATGACAAACAATAACTTGAGATATGAACAAATGATCTGGAAACAAATGTTACTTCAATGTGTAGCATACAGAAGAAGGTTTGATGTAGAACTTCATGTAAAGTGATATCATAACAAAACCATTTCCACATAAACATCACACGGCAATGAAGTGGGAATGTCAATGAGAGATTGCCAGTTGCTGTATGGCTTTCACTCACTATTTAACATCCCTGCTTTGGCTTTTGTTTAAATTTTGCTGTGATATCTATTTTGTAATATAAATTATTAGCATAAAATATATGACAAAAGAAGGATGCTGACAGCATCAAATTGGAAGCATTGACAGCATCAAATTGGAAGCATTGACAGCAGCAAATTGGGGAGGGGGCTAAAATCATGTCAGAGCCAAAAAAAGAAATTATAGACCAATTCAAAAATGTGGTTCATGCCTCTGATCTAATGACTTAATTTGGTATGGCAGAATCAATGATCTGGAGTATCATCAAAAATAAAGAAAAATCAAAGAAGCTGATGGTGCAAGAGAAGTGATAGATGATTGAAAGATACTAAGAGAGATCATAGGTGATTCAAGAAGATGAAGAAATTGTTGCTTATTTGGTTATAAACAAGCAAATGTCAGCTGGTAACAATATTTGTGAGGGCATCATTTATAAAAAAAGCAAGGTGATTGTATGATATCCTAATAAAAAACTACCTCGGTAAGAGTGTTGATATTGATGTTTTGAAAGCTAGCAAAGGGTGGTTTGAGAATTTTTAAGAAAAAAGATGTCATACATAGTGTAGTTTGGCACATGGAAGCTAAGAGTACAAATCAAAATACTGTTGAGGAATCTGTTCAGGAATTTAGTGACTACATAAAAGTTGAGGAATTCCTTTAGCAACCATTCAACTTAAGCCAAATAAAGCAACGAAACCATATTGTTCTGGAAACAAATGCAAGAAGAAAGTCTGTCACCCAAGATTAGGCAGCACCACCCATATAAAGCCAATGAAGGTTTGTGTAAATCTTTTGCTAGGTGAAAATGCAAATGGGGATTTAAAGCAAAGTCATTACTTGTGTACTACTTAGAATCCTATGTTATTAAAAAAATTATGGTAAAAACTAAATTGCCTGCTCTGTGTAGGGTTACCTGGGCAAATTTTTATCGAGTGGATCTATAAAGCCTTTTTCCAGGTGTTAAAAAATGCATATAAGAGATCATCTGCCATTGAGGTGTCTTCTTGTGATAGATAATGTATTTGATTATTCAGACTTGGCAGTCGAGTTGGTGAAAGAGATTTAATTACAGTAATTAATGCTCCTGTAATACAGCCTATGAATATGCAGGTTATTACAAACTACAAGAAGCTGTGCACCAAAGCACTTTTTAAAGGTATTTTGAGGTAACCTGTGGCACAGAATTAACACTCAAAAACTTCTGAAAACATCATTTTAGTATCCACCATTATTTAAGTCTCACGGACAAAGTTTGGCAACAAGTGACTTACATGATCATGAATTCAGCCTAAAGAAAATTGTGGCCAAGTTGTGTTCCAGGCAAAGACTTTGGGTGCTCTGACATGGAAGAAGTTTCCCCTCCTGATAATAGTGTGTTTTTAAGCAAAAATTGCAGCTTAGAAGTTAACAATGAAAATGTGGAAGAGTTGCAAGAAGACTGCAATATGAACTGAGGATGTAAGAACTGGAACTATGTCAGAGGCAGCAGTAAAGGGCAACAGTTTGTAAGAAATTTGTCTTCAAAAGAAGAAGGAAAGAAGGGAGAATGTCCTTAGCTATTTGATCTGCAAAATTTTTGCTAGAAGTACAAGGTTTCATGGAATGTTGTCACTCTTATAAAGCAGTAGTAAGCCTTAGTATAAATATTTAAAATAACAATACCTTATCTTGCTCTAGGAACATTTTAAAATGTAGGCAGAGACAAATCACACTGGTCAAATTTTCAATGGGATAGAGGTGAGTGGTAAGACAAAGGGGAGGAAAAAGACCAGAAAGACTGTAGATACCTGTTGTTTTTACAGGAAAAGTTTCCTTTTCCAAATAAATAACATTTTGCACTCACTTCTGCACCATTTTCTACTTACATTGCTAATTTTCTTTTATGCAGATATGGTAAAGTTTTTCTTCTTCTTTTTTTATGTTTAGTATTGCATATATGTTAATATTTTACATATGTTAGATTTAATAAATGCTGTTAATTTCGTATTATGAACTTGCATACAAGTACACTTTTCTTTTCTAAGCAATCATTTTGGGACTGGAAATGGAGTAATCCATTTTTAATCCCTATGGGAAAAATAGTTTCAGTTTATGAACATTTTGAGTGACAAACTACCTTCAGGAATGATTTAAGTTCATGAATGTAAATTTCACTATATCAAGTAGCTAACTAAAATTCACAAGTTATGGATATATGTACTGAATTAAATTTCAGAGCATAATAATTTGTGTATCTGCTGAATTACTTATTTCAGAATTATTGATTCAAGTGATAACACTGAAATAGGCTGTACAGAAATAATTCTGTACCTGATTGTTGTGCGAAATCATTTTATGTATTTTCTAATCACTTTCATAAAATATTCGTATCCTTCGTTTTTAAATTATAGAACCCAGAATTTAATACAGAGTTTGAGAGCTACAGTGGTTTGATTAAATATTGTTTTATCCACCTTGTTATTATTGTTTAGTTTATAAATTTTATAATTTCCTATTACACTAAGTTCGTATAGTATTATTACTTACTGCAAAAATTATTATAAGAGATTCCTTTATCAAATACGTACAAATTAATGAATTCATATTTATATATTTTATATTATTCAAAATATTGCTTCATCACAGTACACTCAAATTTATATTATTGTGATAAAGCAGAAAATTCTATGCATGCCAAAATACTTTGATACAGATTGTTATTGCTCTTGGCGTACAGACTAGTAAACTTGAAAATGCATTTATATATTTATTTCTAAATCAAAATATATAAATAAAATTTCAGTATGGATGTAATGTGTGATCTACCACCTTTAATTTATTATTTATTTCTATTTCTTGGATGGTGCCACTAAAGTACTGTATTTAAATATGAAGAAATTCAAATAATTCAGAATACTTAAGTGAAAATGATTCCTTTAATTAATAAAATAACCCATTAACTTTTTAACTCCTTAAATAAAGATTTCTTCTAATTTTACAAAACTAAAGCAGAACAGCCCTTAAATGTTGTGTAGCATAGCCAAAAAATAATCATAACTTTTAATGAATCTCCATCACGCTTATGTAAGATAACTTGAAAGCCTTTGCAGTGTGATAATAATACTAATGCTTCTGCAGATGGTACTGAAAGATATGAATAAAAAAACAATCAATTTTATTTGAGCCATCTAGAAAATAACTAACTAACTAAAAACAGTAGAACAGATATTACAACATTATCAACATTCCTTTACTTAAAATTCTTGTAGAATGTTAGCAAACTGTGTGATCAGAATATGTCAGAATTAATTTTGAAGCTTATAATATAAACACTTTCATATCAGATGGAAGCGTAAAGGAAAAATACTGATATATTTTCAAATATGTTCCTTAATTTTCACTGTGCTGCTTCTATTGCATTGGAATATTGCATTAAAGAATCTTACGTTATAGTTAATTTAATCCATGACATGTTCTTTTTTGCCAAAGCCAAAATTTTCAAATTGAAATATTCAGATACTATATAAAAGTCATCAAAGTATTTTTAAAAGATTATTTATGCCAGTTGCATTTTAATATGCAGTTTGTATTATGTTTTATAACAGAAAAAATTTTATTTTAGCCTAATTTTTGGTTTCCTAAATCTTTATAATTAAAAAATTAATATCAGAAATAACTTCAATTAATAAATAACACTATGAATGTGCTTAAAGTCTTAGCTAGGACTTTATCTGAGGGATTTTAATTTTTTAAAGCTCTGTAAAATGCTATCCGTTATTTAAGAATAACTTTCGTAATTTCATAGATATGTAAATTTAATTTTTGGGGTTAGGTATTTTGTAATTTTTCTATTAAACTTATGTATTGATGTTTTCTTCTTACCTGTTAGTAATAATTAATATGGTAATATTAATAGCATAAGATTTCAGTAAAATGTACTTTAAAATCATTTTGAGAAATTTTAATTCTAATTAACTCATATTTTGCTCAGGATTTTAACTACTATGTGCCCCAAATTGCATCAAGGTAATTTTGAGTGCTGTTACTTTCTGAATGGGGTTTTTGCATATCTTTGAAGGAAATTTTCATATAAATTTCTAAAGAAGCACTTTTTAGGTAATATGGATTTATAATGATATTTATTTTTAGTCCATCTGAAAGAGATAATTTGCTATTCATCATATGCTAGACATTAATTCTAATCAAAATAATAGCAGTCCAAAGGGATTTGGAATTCGGTTTAAGCCTTGTTTTCTAATCTGATTACCCTTAGCTAAAACATAAAATAATCTGTAGTTATTTCATTCATCATTTATAAAAAGGTGCAAGCCTGTAACTGCAAATTTTAAACTTATGCAATATCAAATAGTAATATTTTTATTAAAAAATTAAAAAATTGTGTTATAAATTTTCTTTTTTAAGGATGACTGTTTTCAGCCTGTCATTGCACGTTATACTGCTGCTTCCAGTATGGATTACTGCCACTTACATGGTTTAACCCACCTTATGTGGATACCTAATCATATAGAGGTACTGAATGTCAAAAAATTTGACTTTGCTAAACTTGCTACTTAATTTGTTGTTTTTTATGATTAATTAATGTCAGATGCTCTTTATGCCTATAAGTATGTGGCATAAAAATATTGTTTATATTATTTCTTTTGAACTCTGATAGATACTGGCAAAGGGCGATTGTAAACAAAATGAGTTTAATCATTCATATCAGATTGCTACATGTGGTTTAGATGGGTAAGTATAAATTTTTTAATGACTTAATTATAGGTAGTTTGGATCTTCCAAGTTTTGAGATCTGTTATTTTTTTATTTTCTAGCATAATATTATCTTTTATAAAATATGTTTAATTTTGTATTCAAGTCTGTTTTATAACATTGAGGTGCTTTAACAGATGCTTCAGTACATGCAGTTTAATAAAGGCTGGCATATCTAAAATAGTGTAGGCTCCAACTGTATATAGGAACTCACTTATCTGCACTATCTGTTACTCACCATGAGTCTATTGATGATTTATACATAACAAATATATGTATATAGCCTGTAATAAATGTCCCATTTATCAGTCTGTCTTTATTTACTATACACATTTCCACTCATGCACAGTGGCAGGCAAAATACCTTTTTGGTGCCCTGCCCCCCCCCAAAAAAAACACTTACCATAGTATAATGTATAGAATATACTCGTAATAAGAAAATACTGCAAATAATAATAAAATGCTGAATCTGGCTTACAATACTTAAAAATATTGTTGCATTTTTTTCTGGCACCAGTTGTTATGTTATTTCCTTCCTTCACGTTCTTACGGGATCATGTAGATTTGGAGTGAATAACAATGACACTTGATGAAGTATCGAAACACACTTTATTAGCCACTATGCATCAGGACAGCTCCAAAACACATTTTCAGTCGTCGAAGAACTACTATAAACACGCTGGAACAATCAGTGACACAGCCACACTGTCATTCAATAGCAATGGAGAAAGCTTCACTGCAAAGCACCAGAGTACAGCTCCCGACACTGCTCGGTTGTTCTCAGAATTCCACGTACTCTCGAGACTCTCCACGCTACAATTTGCGATGCACTCGACGACACACAGAGCACAGCTCCCGACTCTTCGGTTCAGTCGTTCCCGGAGCTTAACACACTCCCTCGATGATGCACTAACTGCGATACACTAAGAGGCTCTTCGATGCACTCTGCACTCGTTGGCCGGCTGTCAACTCGATTGTCTCCGCACGGACTAACTAGATGAGACACACTAACTATCTTGCACTCGACAAGGCACTCCGACTGCAGACCAGCAGGGTTTATGTAGCTTCCGGCTTATGTTCGAGAACATTCTGAGCTAAACCGGTAAGAATTCGTTCCAGAAGGTTCTTCATCCATCCATGGCGTATCGCCAATTTTGTCAATTTTGTTACACTAAAAGACTCTTTGATGCACTCGATAGTGCACTCGGCACTCGCTGGCCGGCTGTCAACTCGATTGTCTCCGCATGGACTAACTAGATGAGACACACTAACCATCTCTCACTCGATGAGGCACTCTGACAGCAGACCAGCAGGGTTTATATAGTTTTCGACTTATGTTCGAGAACATTCTGGGCTAAACCAGTAAGAATTTGTTCCAGAAGGTTCTTCATCCGTCCATGGTATGTCGCCAAATGTGGCAACCCTTCTTTCCTTTGCCATTTTATGGCAACCCTAAAACTGCTTTGCGGTGAAGCCATTTTACCACGCCTGTGCATTTCGTAACAATATATTAAGAATAGTCAGTACCTAACTACACTTCTATGAAGTGCTGTACAGATTTTTGGGATAACAGTCTCAGGTTAGGCTTTAAATTTGAGGCAAAAAAATCAAGATTAGCATTGGATTCAGAAATGTATCTGTGTTGGCAGAAAAATCAGACATACGACGATCTAGAGTTAGTTAAAAAGATCTCACTTATTTTGCATATTTATATAATTGTTTAAAAAAACGTAGAATTCTTAAACAGTAAAAAGTTTAATATATATTTTAGATATATATATTTTATAATATATAATATATATTAATACAATTAATTACTATGCATACATTTTTCTTCCATTGGATGAAGCAAATTTATCAATTACTTCATCAAAGTCGATCATTTCAAATTTTTCTCTTTCCACATTTAAAAATGCTAATATATCACTTAGGCGATCTTGTCCCATCATTGATTGTAAATATGTCCATTACATTCCATTAAAGTCTGTATTATAAAATCCACCCAAGTTTTTACAATTTTTTCAAGATCATTAGGAACATTATTCTTGTCTTATAAATTTTCAACTTTCTTTAAAATACAAATTTGGAATTAAGATCACTTAATCCTGTAAATTGTATACTTATTTCCTGTTGCAGATGATCAGGAACTCTTTTCATAACACGAGAAATTTCCCTTTTTGCAGGAAGGACAATATCTCTAGCCAATTCTCCGGGCATTTTTTTGGCATCTTCTAACATGAATTGCTGTATCAATACCCGACTTTTTGCAAAGAGACATTATCTTTTCACAGTTCTCGTCTTGAATTTCTGCAAGTTCAGGTGCTAATGATTCATGATCATAAAATGCTCCTCTAAAATTCATTTTAAGATCTTGCAATCTGAGCTACACATGATTAGTTCTCCTAAAATTTCATGCCAGAAATGGACTTAAATTATGAAATTAAAATTCAGTGTATTATGCAATAAAATTATACCTCCACTTCTGGTTTCACTTGCATAGAACTGTCCTCTACTAATTTTTCTAATAGTTCTTCAAATTATAATTATTTCACTTTATTAGCTTTCTTAATTTAATTTGAAATATAAGAATTTTAATAGGAGTATTCCCATTTAATTATATACAAGTCTTTTCACCCAAGTTTTATAATTTCACTGCATTTTAAATTCTTTGGATTATATGCTATATGTTTAAAGGTAAAAAAATTGATTAATAAATTTTTCACTGAAGTTTATTATCATATTATTTCACTTATGATTTCATTCTTTAGATAAAATTTTATTTAAGGTACAAGATTCTAATTAGAATTTACTTGGTTTTTTCCTTGTTTGGGAAAGGGCCAGAATTTTCAGGTGAACTATTATAGTTATGACACATTGAAATGGTTCATCAGCTAATTCTGGATGCAGAAAAGCAAGGATTTTTATAGAGGGGACATTTCAGTTGATTTCATTGTTTCTCTCTCCTGACGAAGTGGCATTGAAGTTTATTGAATTTCTTTTCTGTTTTGTTAATTTTTTTAAAATTTCCTTAATTTTTTTAATTGGGATATTGCTTGTTTGAAAAGTTTTGGTTTTAACATTTTTTAGATTCTTTGTTGCATTTATAGGATTAGTTGAAATTTATTAATTAAGAATTTCAATTTTTGGTTTTTGTAAAAAATTAGTTTTAAATTTCTTACTTTATGTCTTTACTGATACTTTTTCGGCAGCTTAAGTTGTTTTATATATATATAATTAAATTATACAAAATCTATATTAATTATTCTTAATTTTCATCATAAATCTGAGTTCTCATAATTTCAGGGCCAATGTTCTGAGATTTTGTGATCCATTATGGTTTCATTAAGGATTAGCAAATCGTAAGAAGGCAAGATGTGTTTCAAGAAGTATCTACTTGGTGTCACAGTCTTGGTTTTCTCAACCATTCCAAACGTTAGGAATAGTATCAGCTTTAGCTACTGCAAAGTATTGAGTCCATGCATAAGAACATTGCTATGGTCTACTGCTTGCATGAAACATACACTGGGGCAATTGGGATGCTGCACCATGTACACTACTATGCATGAATGCTGCTAAACTTAGCTGAATTTACTCTTAGGAGTATAACACACCAGAGTACTTTGAGGAAACCTGATGATTTGAGACTTATATTTGACTGAAATTAAACTCCCCCTCCCCCTGGTTTAAAGTTGCTGACTGGATTCTCCCATTCATACGTTGTTGATTAATAGAAGAATTGTAGTCCATCGGCAATATGTTCAGCTTTTCTTGATCAAATCAGAGCTTCCATTTAATAGTCTGAGTCTGTTTTCATTTCAGGAGATAATGTACAACATCACGAATATTACTCCTACAAATGTGCTGCATTTTAGCCAAGCTTCTATTGAACCACTTAAAGTATTGTGGAAATTATGACCTATCAAAAACTGATCTGCATAGTAATTGCTCCAAAATGCTTTGGAAGTAATGTTAATAATGATGGGATACATAAATAAATAATGGGAAGAGTACCTTTTCTTTTATCAGATAAGTCTCACTGTGTCTACCCTTACTGAAGGAAAAGATCTTGGAATTTTCTTTTGTCTCTCACTGTACGTGTAGATAGATGGCAGTCTACCATTACTCGGATTATTGTTGTTTCAGTATGATCATTGGCTACTTCATTGTAGAAGTGCCCAGCATGCACTTTTATTTAATAAATTTAGACCATCTGTAATCTTTGAACTTATTATAACATTTTAAAAAGAATGGCTGCAGACAAGGTTTGCCAACATTCAAAGTGAAGACAGACTGTTTGTACAAATGGATTTATTTATTTTATTTATTTTTTATTTTTTTGTAATTATTTTTCTCTTTCTGGAATTATCTTCACCATTCAAGAGGCCTATTTTGTGGTATAAATGTCTGCTTGAAAGATTGTGTTAAGACTACCCAACTTGTGCATTCATATCCAGAGCAGCTTCCCTCATTTTGACCATATAATGCCTAAATGCTAGGCTGAGAGTCCTGCCCTGTATGTTAGTAAAGAGATTTTTTTACTTTTTATATTGGCTTTGCTTCATGTGACAGGTAGCAGATGAGTGTTCTTTAACTTTTTGTCTACTTTAATTATCATTGAAATCATTTTTGCCATGTTAAGTTTGTAGTGGACTTTTCATGATTTGACTCAAAGCTATGTTTGCTCTGCTCTTATTGGTCTCTCAACTTCAACCCAAATCTATCAGTAATAAGTCATCCATACATGCCTGTAGTTGTATCCGTTGCAGAATTGCATTCTACCGTATGAGTGAAAATTTTTATTTATTTATTCAATATTTCATAAATTCAGCTAACATACATTTAGCTGCTATACTATTAGAATAAGAAATAGATGCAACTTTCTTAAAAAAGGTTGTACTTAAAATGTAATGCAAAACTTCCCACCCCACAAAAAAGTCAATAAAATGGGCTGATTTATGAAGATGTGCAAGTTAAAACGATATTGTATGATATTTTGTAAATTATCTTGATAAATTTTAATTAATTCTGTTTTTAGCATAATTATACATTTCCTCCATTATAAACATTCTTGTATTTTTATTTCTTTTATTCTATGGTATAACAGACTATTATTACAAATACTTGCATAAAAATTGCATAAAACTTTTATTCATATGCATCAGATTAAAGAGTTTGATAAAACTATATGAATTTAAATTATTAAGATCTTTATACAAACTTGTTGGTTCATATAGTATAGAAATTTTTAAAATGTCTGGTTTATGCTGCTTTTATTCAACAGTAGGATACTTTGAAGTATTTCTTCCCATTTAATACTGCTTGGCAACTGAAATAGTTAAAAATAAATTAAAGTCAACTTCAAATGAGTCTATAAGCTTTCAGAGCTGACTTAGTTTAGATATTCAGCTCTGTATCCACTTATTTCTATTCTCCTAGATTTTCTCTGTACTGTATCATTTAATGAGAAGCTAAATATTCAGTAGGAAATTTTGAGAGCAGACAGTCTGATTGTATGTCTATTATACTGTAGGGATTATATTTATTTATCTAACAGTTAAATTTTGAGTTAAACTTCCTTTCCTATCGCTTCTTAATTTCAACTTGCCACTTCCAGACAGAACGTAGTTTAGAATCACGTTCGAATGCAAATTGAGGAAGAGCGGTATTTAACCGCAAAGTTCTACTGTCTTAGTCAAAGAGAACCAGAAATTCTGGCTAACAGTGTCCGCCTTTTTAGGCTACTCTCTCTTAAGCTTTTATTACACTCGGCCGTACTTTAGGCCCTTAATAGCTTCACAGTCAATTAGCATTAAGGGGCTAACTCCATTAGAATCTTGATCACTTCGGTTATATCTTTTTAGTTAAGTTTTAATTCTTAGTTTCCTAAGCCCGAGTGGCCTGCCAGCGGCCGAGCGGTAAAGTCGCTGAACACTGGTAGTTCGGTCCGAGGTTCGAATCCCGCGAATGGGCTGGCTGCATGGGCATTTTCGTGGTTTTCCCCATGTGTAACAAGTATACGAGCCAGTTTCCTTTAGAAAGTCCTCCACGAAGGCATCCCTCCTCTTAGGCAGATAGCCCTCGAGGCTTTGCCATAATCACACACACACACCTAAGCCCGAGTGTCGGCTTTATTGTAAAACTCCAAGACAGAGTTCTGTTAAATCTTATTTGAATAATAAAGTGTCTTTTTATCCTTTCCAACTTTAAATTTCTGTCTCACGAACTCAAGAGATTATTTGCTTACTAGTTCTTAAGATTTTTCACATTCAACTGTAACTTAAAGCACACAATAGAGAATCTTAAACACCTAGTGGGAATGTATGAGCATCTAACTGAAATGTTACCTAGAATATATTTAAAATTAAATTTGTATACCTTATAATAGATTTATGTGTTTATGTTATTGTTATGACTGATTATTGATCACTCATTTATTTTCTTTGTTGGGAAACAAAGTCTTCAATTTAATTATATTTTTTAAATACAGCAGTAGTAATTAAGATATAATAATCTTTGTTGTTTTACTTCTAAATTAACAGCAGTAGTAGTTAATTTAGTTCTTTTTATGTTAATGTCCACTAAGATGGGCACACTGCCTCCTTAATTTTAATTTATAATTGAATTTATTTGTAATTTATGTGTGTGCGTCTGAATATTATAATCGAGAAATTTGTTATATAGTGTTTTGAGATTTTGGGATTTAAGAGCTGCCATTGCCCATAAACCAGGACAGACTGTACCCAAATATTTCCACAACCTTGATGGGAAATGGGAACCTTTCCATTCAGTAAGATATTTCATTTAAATCTTTTACATTTCCTGTAAACTGACACTGGCATTATTTCAATTTTTAAGTCAGAAATTCTAATGATTTCTTGGCTGTAAATAAAACAAGCAGATTGAGAAACAAGCAGAAAGAGAAAAGGTTTTAAAATAAAATAGCAGGATTATTTGAAGAATCATGAATTGTGATATAAGAAAGAATTCTATTTAAAAAAAAAAAAAAAAAGAAGAAAGAAAAGAAAAAGCTATAAATTATTTGGACTGTAATTCAAAGGCAGAATTTCTTTTGTTAGCAATTCAGATCGCAAGTACATGTCTTTAGACACTTTGTAACAGTTGAGAATGGGACAAGATATAATTGCAGTGGAACTTATTTAAGAATTTCCCAGTTGAAATATTTTGTCACTCAGGTTATCTTGCACACTATTCTTTATATCAAAAATTACTCAAATTTAACCAGATTATCAAAAATTTAACCAGATTTTGATGCCTTAACTAGAGAAATACTTTGATTATGTCTGTTTATATTTATCTGTTGAGTTGATTTATTGTAAGCAATTATAAATTATGACTTGCCCATGTACAAAACTTGATAAGCAAACAGTCATTACTTTCAGATTTTAATGCAAACTGGGTATATTTTTTGAAATTTTTAAGATGTACATATATCAAGTTTGACATCATTTAATGTTTTGCAAGGAAAGGCGAGTATTTCAGATATAAGTTATATCATGGCTAAGAGGGAGCTGAAGGAGCTGCAACCCTCCAAAACAGAATTTTTAGTTTATATACAGCTACAAAAGAATTGATTTTAGATAAAAGTCACAGCTATCCTAGCAACAGTAATGAAAATTAAATTTTAGCTATAGTAATGAATTATATAATGGACACAGTACATTTTTTAATAAATACATTTACATATTTTTCTAATCAACCAAAATAACTAGAAGGTATAAATAGAAGTTATTTCATGTTTTTATTTTTGATCAGTTATTTGTCAATTAAAATATTTTTTAAATGATAAATAAATGATAACAGACTCATTTCTGGGTAGTGAGCAAATAATTATTCTGTATTATTAACAATTTTCTAAAAGGTTAGATTCTAATTTTCAGAATTGGAAGTTTGTTGTAGTGTTGGCAAGGAAACCTAATGTAATATTTATTCTAATGGATATCTGTCTAACACGCTATGTAAACAGAAAAGAGCAGCTGCTCAGAAGAGGTACTTACGAATCATTCTCTGCACCTTCTTTGAATAGTTGCTTCATTTTAGCCACAGCTCATGTTAACCCTTTGTTGCATCATGTCCACTTTAGTGGACAAATGTTTAAATTTGTTTATTCTTCTGTAAATGCCTTAACAGATTCCATTCGTGTGTTTATTCATTCTATATTATTAGAACTTTCAACTGTCGATCATAGATGACTGTATAGCATCACTAAGTAAAGCATTGCTATTTGCAAAATGGCTGCTACTTCTGTTTCCAAGTTAGTACAATTTCTCATAGTAAACATTATATAATATTGCTTACATTTTCTTATACTGCTATTTTTTATTCATAATTAGTAATTTTAGTGGTGTGTGTAGATAAAGATCTACCAAAAAGAGTAAATTGAAACCCAAATGTACTGCTTATCAAGCCAAAACACCACTGGAAATGTTTAGGTTTGGCAAGGAATTTCTAGAACATTTGAAATTTGAATCTGATAGGTACAGGTTACAAAATTGTAGCAAAATGAATTCAATCACAATCGATGAAATGAAGATATTTTGGGGTATCTGTTTGTACATGTCAGTTGTAGATTTACCATTTAGAAGATGGTAATGATCAAACAAGGCAGGAAATGATTTCAAATGCAGTGACCATAAATCATTGGGTGCATGTACCCAACTATTTGTGTGCATGTATGTAGTATATGCATACTGTCCTGTAGTGAACAAACTGTAGCAATTATTTAAAACGAAATTTGAATAATTTTTTATTATTATTATTACTAATGTTATTTTAAGTAGAAAAAATACAAACATTATCGTTTAACTTCTCTAGATTATTTGTATGCAACAAAGGGTTAAAATGCAATTGGGAAGCTTTTCATTCATGTAAGGGGCGTAGCTAGAAAGGGGGGCAAGGGGGGCATCTGTCCCCGGGTGCAGAATCCAAGGGGCGTCAAACTGATGTTACCAAATTTTAGAATTAAATGTTTTCCATTCTTGGCAAGCAGTAGGGGGCGTGAAATCTTCAGTTGTTCCTGGGCGCTGAAAACCCTAGCTACGGCTCTGTTTATGTAGCTATGCATATTGATTGAAATTCGTGCAGGGAAGGACGAATTTATGCCATCCTTTTACTGACCACTCAACAGCACTTTGTAGCCACCTCAGTGTACCATTTCCATACACTCATTCCCATTACAAAATGTGTTTAGTTTGATTCACTCTATCTGTCTTTGCATTTCTGCCAGATATTTTTTAATCACCATGTGTATCTGTAATAAGTAAGGATATTGTTATGTGAAAGATCCTAAAACGTGTTTTTGTTTTATTTGTAATCTCCTTGTTTCTACTTTCTACCTGTCTATATATATATTACTTTTGTTTTCATTTTCCCCCTTTCCTTTTCTTTATCAAAGGTGGATATAATGTCTTCTGATGGAAAAAGACAATCTGTAACATGTTTCACTTTGAGAGAAGTCTCAAAATTGAATAAGAAAGGTAAAACTATAATATTAATCAAGGGAATTATTAGAATAGTTTTAAATTATTTTATTTTCAGATCACTTTAATCTCTTTTAGGAATTAAAGAAGTTTCTCAAGATGATGATCCAGGAAATACAAGCATGGACACCAGTGCAAAGAAACCTTTGTCTACAGAATTCATTTGTGGTTGTGATGTATGTTTGATGAATTTGTGATATTGACTATGATGCTTATTCAGTACTGCATTTCACGATTTAAATTATCTTTGGCTTTTATGCCACTTATATGTTGTATGTAATGATATATTTTCATCCTGTATTGCGATACTGAAATCACCATCAAAACTGAATTTGATAGCTCCATGATATGAAAACAAAGTATTTTAATTCTGTTTCTAATTTTAAATTTTGATGTAGTGAATGAATTCATTTGTCACAGGATGGAAAACTGCTTCGTGGGAATTTTAAACTGGAAAAAGATGAAACAGGAAAATACATTAGTAAGAATAAATTTTATTTTATAAAAATTTCTTTCCCTTTTTCTTTCAACCTTCTTAGCTTTATGAACATAAAATTTAGAAGGATGGCTTCTTATTCATTGCACATGAAAATTTCTGCCAGTTTTTAGTGTATTCGATTTTGGGTTGGATGTATATTGAAAGAAAAAGAATCAAGGTGTTGGTTTTTAATTAAGAAAATGCCATTCATTCATTAGATTATGAGAAACTTTAAATTTTAGGACTAAATCTGTAATGCTCGGAGGACTTATTCTTCAGTTAATTTAATCATAAAATATATTTTGATTTCCATTAATTACTTCTTTAACAAAAGCCCAAAATTAACCCAAATTCATGCAGTAAAGCTTCATACTTAAAATTCTTATTGTAACTAAATAAATATTAACTTGGACTTTAAAACGTTTTTAGTATAATACTGCTTAAAGCTTAAATTACATTACATTAAAATTTAGATCATATGCACTTGAATAAATTTTTTCTTCTTTAATAACTTTTAGTTGTAATTTATCTGTATATTACTAAAATGGAATTTCTTTTTCCAAAACAGAATTTTATTCTGAGGATATTTTTGTACCATGATTCATAGATTTTTAAAAACTTTTGGTAATCAGTTAATTGTAAACAACAGTCTTATGGTAAAATTTCAAAAAAGGGATCAATTTTCTACTAAATTAAAAAAGAATTAACATAAATAAACAATATTGTGTTTTGTGGCATATGGAGACCATTTTTTGTATTTTGAGACCATTTTGAGGATTTGTTACATTATTCTACTAATGTGTTACATTGATTTGTAATTGCTTATGTTAAAAATCTACAGAATTTGCTTTATATTTTGAAAATTAATCAAATTCCAGCAAACAGACTGTCTGAGTGAAAGTATCTTGGTTTTCTCTATATAAAATGTGAATACGAGCCAGTTTTCTAAGAAAATTCTCCGTGAATGTATCCCTTCCCATAACCTTTAAGTGCTTTACCATAATTTGAAATAATCCGAAATTAATTAGCCAAAAATAACCTTTATTTTAAGTTGAATAACATTTGGAGACCTCAGCAATACATTAAGTGATGTTCTGCATTTTTATGAATTTAAATGAAAGGAAATTAAAAAAACTTAAAGCATAAATTATTTTTTTAAAAAAAAGATTGTTAAATATCTTTCTTTAGGGTAAAAGTAAATTTATGGAGAAAAAATAAATAGGTGTATAGTACGAGGCCTATTCGAAAACTAAGTATCGTTTTGAAAAAAAAAATAGTAAAACAATTTTTTCGAATCCAATTTTATTTTTACATGAAAATACATGTCTTAAACTACGAGTAAAATAAGGAAAAATAGAAAATATTCTTCTCCAGTTATGCAATTGCTTTTAGCAAGATTTGAATAGTTGTATTATATTTCAATGGCAGGTTCATACTAGGTACCTTTTGCATCTGTCACCAATATTAAAATCATAAATAAATAATCTTGTAGTATGTGTTAAAGATATGTGAATAATTCCAGATTAGAATCTTGCTATAGTATCAATCAAAAAGGGAAGAGGCAGTATTTTTTTAAACAATTTGGATTTCAAAGTAGGCACGTAAATGACAGCAGTAATAGAGACAAAAGATTCCCTTCCCCATTTTGTTGTATTTGCTTATTTCAAAGCAAGAAGAATAGTTTTAAAATTATCATTTATGAATGCCTTAGATAAATCATTGAGCACCATCCTCTGTATTTAGGTACATCAGAAATTGCTATTTCTCAGTTTACCCGTGATCAAAGCACCAAGAGAAAAGTGTTGCCAATTTTAGATACTCCCTAAAAAAATCATTATTAGAGAATGGACTATAAAAAAAAAATTTAATTTCCTTTTGGTTACGGTTTTGGGTTTTCTATATCATTTGGCAGTAGGCTACCAGAAAAACTGAACATAAAACCCTAAAACCTTTTAGTGTTTTCAAACTTTTCATGTTAAATTTTAGGAAACTACGAAATGAGAATGGCATCTTTCTTTGAGATTTTATAATATTCCTTTTTAATGTAGTTAAATGTTCATCAGTGTAATAAATTTTGCTTTAAAAGTGCATGAATCTTATGTGAGAAAAAGCAAAATTATTAAATCTTTGGCTCATTAATCGTTCTTTGTTTCTTAACTGTTCTTTTAATTTTTCTTCATCTAAAATTATCAAAAAACTTTCAAACTGGATTTTTTGAAAATATCATTCATTATCTATCAATTTCAGTAATGATTCTAATGTCAACCCTCACTTTTGTTTTTAACGAAACATTTTGTATTCATCTGTAACTATCAATTTTATTTAATAATTCTAGTTTATATCCTGACTTTTTTACTATATCTTTTTCTGGTGCTTTCTTCCTCTCTGGAAGTAGCTTAAGCGAACATAAATGTTCCTTATTCTTGGCATATTTGAATGAATGTATTATATCTGATGAAAAACCGCCATGCATGCATCTTCTTTTTTTACTGAAATTAAGATTGCAAAATAATGTAAAATTTTGGCATTGCAAGTTATATCATATTTATAGTGGCAAAGGATGTTAATTATATTTCTTGTAATTTATTTATATATTTCAGCAAAACTTCCTGAATTATTCTCTTCACCTCATAGCAGTTCTGTGACTACGCTAGCTGCTTCTCCATTTGTAGAAGATGTATTTCTTAGTGGTGGATCAAGAACATTTGCTATAAGGAAGCATGGAATTCTGGTATTTTATATCATTTCTTTGAGCATAGTAAACTGATGTCTTCTTTCGCAAATTGTTTGTATCTATAGGATATTGAAATAATTATTTCATGTGTAAGAAACTATAAAAGTGTACTGAAAAATAGTTTATTTGCAGCAAATACTTAAAAATAAGTTTACTGTTATTTTTGCTGTTATGCATTAAATTGTATGTATGGACTTTTTTCCTTTCAGATCAAATTTTAATTTTATTTTAATAAATAACAATCAGTATATTCATAATTTTTAAGGCAACTATTATTCTTATATGCAGTTAAATTTGTTTGTTTCAAAATCATAAAGATAGTAATACAAATTGGTATTTAAGTAAATTTATTATTGAAAACATGGAAACATTTCTTTTTATTTCTTAAAGTCCATAACATTTAGATATCCAACTATAAAGTGAACCAAGCTTTTTGCTTGTAAACTAAAATTAAATGCTCTGTACTGTAATATGTTTTGTAATAACTTTGTTTTGAAGATAAAAACTTTTCGGTATTAAAATTCCCTTAATAATTAAATCTTTAAAATGTCTCTGCAACATTTATTCATTTTGCTTCAGGAAAGGTTTCATATCCACAGTCACTGAATCTGTTGCATTTTTATTTTCTAATGTTTTCATAATTTCAGCATCCGAAAGGGTTGGATTTAGAACATGATTAGTGTCAGCATTAGAAATGAAATATTTCATACTGTAGTATGTTTGTAATAATTTTGTTTTCAAAAAGCAAAACTTTAAGCATTAAAATGCTCTTAATTTTATTCAATCTTTAAAATGTCTCTGCAACTTTTTTATGGATTTTGCTTCACGAGAGGTTTCATTTCCACAATCGCTAAATCACTTGAATTTTTATTTTTCAGTGTTGCATAATTTCAGCTTCAGGAATGTTGAATTTAGGATTTGATTAGTGTCAGCGTTAAAAATTATTATGCCTCAGAGAAAGTGATCTGAGTAATCAGTTTATTTGAAATATCCTTTTTAATAACATCAACTCATGGGCATTCTTAATCAATAGCACCTTAAGCATTTGATTATTTAAAACCATTTTTGTGAAAGCAGTTTTGTACCATTGATGCATGTATGTTTTTCGCAAAAGGAAAATCAGTTCTAAATTTATTAGAAGATTTATTTTAAACTCTTAAATTTGTTCAGTATATGCGAATAAACTTTGAATTATTTACTTACTAGTGCCATTTAAATCTGACAACAGTGCAATAATCTTAAAGCTCTCTGGAAACCTCTCCAAAACATGCTATGTGTAAAATATTGTCCATGCATAACAGGAAGATTATCTAAGCTTAAATACTAAAATCCCTGTTTGATGCATTTCCTATAAGAAATGTTTATATATTGTTGCCTTGAATATTTAAGCAAAATGAAGGAGCTATCTACTTTGTATTTTGTCATTTTTTTCTTCCCATCATTGAGAGCTGAAAGCAAAAATTTTTTAAAGAACTATATAGTAAAACAGTTCTCTTTCTCATCACAATTAAAAATATACATTGATGCATACTTTTCTTATATTTTGCAACCATTCTGGTTCAGCAGTTCTCTGCTTCTATCATCTTATCAGTAATATTTTTGCAAATTATTTGGCAATGAATTTTAAGCCTTTTCATTCCTTTTGTACCATTAAAATTTTCATACCATAACTGTGCTTCTGAATTTTAAATCTTGCACTGAAGTATTGGCCCATGAACAAGCAAATTTTGAACCCGGCTCTTACATATTATTGATGAAAAGTGTCTTCAACAGAACTGAAAAAAATTTTTCTTCTGAATTACCTTCTTTTGATTATGATAATTCTCTGAGCATCTAACTTTTTATAATTATCAGTTCTGAACTTAGAAGATCTCTTTACTCTTTATCTATGTTTTTCCCCTTCTAACCTCCATATGATTTCACTTTTTTAATTAAACATTTGTACTTATACAACATATTTCCTCGATGAGTAGTCTCATTTCATCATTTACATCATGTGACCTTTAATATACAGTCCTTATGAACTGTCATTAGAATAAAATTCTAGCATAAGAGTTATTAGATAAGTATATAAAAGGGTTGCAAGGAACATGCAAGCATTTAGATATGAAAAGGGAGACAGGAAGCAAACAAATGGCTTTTTAGTACCAAAAACGCTTGCATATTCTGTAACAGCATCAGAAAGGGTCATTGATATGTAATATAGCAGACACTAAAATTTTTAGGAAGCAATGTAACATAGAAAGCACATGGATTTCATTCAGCTGTTTCCCCCACCACCACCACCACCACCACCTTAAAAAGACTTTTGTGGATGCAAAGAAAATCCTGAAGTGGCAAGATATTTGTTGTTACCTCCAGAAAGCTTAAAGTGAAAAAAACCCGAAATGGGGCATATCAGATCTACAATATAATATACTGGCCTTGTTCTCATTTTTATTACATATTATTAATATTGTATGTGCAATATTCAAAATTCTTCAATTATTTCACATGATATGAAATCTTTTATGATATTGTGTAAATAATTTACAGATTTTGATACTTAAACCAATAATACAATACACAGTGGAATTAGCTGCCTTTATGGTAATGATAATCAAATTGAAAATTTTCTGTTCGAGTATCATTTTCTTTAAATTATTGTGAAGACAAAAATATTTCTGTACAAAATAGAAGGAGGAGCTACCTGAAAAGCTTCTTAAATTTGATACTCTTATTATATTTAATGTATACAAGAGTAATGTACACTGTGTGTGGATTATCCGTGTGTGGTAATGCCATACATGCACACTCAGTGCTATGTGCAAAAGTGTATAAAAACAAACATCCTCAAGTACAGTTGCTGTAAAATCACTGAATTATCATCAGCTTAGTTCCAATTATCACCTCTTGCAATTCATTCTACATGTACATAGTCAAAGGAATTGTTTAAGTTGATATCTCTTTTTTTTTTTTTTTTTTTTTTTTTTTTTTAATTTTTTGTGTGTTTATGTGTGTGGGAAGGTGTATTTTCATGTGTATTTTCTTCTTATTCTTTTAAACATTTATTTAAAATTTTAGAACTAAAAAATGAATAAAAAACTTTACTACAAAAACTAAGCGCAAGACAATTGTTTTAATATTAAAACAAAAACTTATATTAACTGAAGATTTGTATGCCAAAATATTCAAAATATAAAATTCTTCAAAAATGTTGATTAAGGAAACATAAGGAAATGGTTCGATGAGCCAGGCTGACTAAGCCAGGCTTTCAATGCTTAACTGTTGTGGATAACATTTCAAATGCCACAAGAACAGAAGAGGCAGAGAGTGGTACTGAAAATACAAGCAAAGAAGATAGTGATAATTACTTTAGTCCCAACACAGCAATGACTTCTGTTGAAATTCTGTTGGACTTCATTGACCAAAGGGAATTTGAACAGAATGCTAAAATAGCACTTTAAAAATATGCAAGGAAATATGGCAACTGTTTAAGTTTTTTCAAAACAAAGTAAAATTACTGATTTTTTAAGAAAGAAACACATGCAATATGCATGATACATGATAGTTTGGATTATCGATAACCTTCTTCCCTGGCATTAGCCAAGATAATTGAGAGTACATCGAATTTTTTTAAAAACATTTAGTTTATTGATTTCAATAATTAAAATATGTTTATAATAGCTGCAGCATAGCCCTCCTATGCTTGCTTTAGTTTTCACATTTTACATGTAATTTTTAAAAGAATTATGTTATTGTATAATGTGATGTTAATAATTCTATATTACTTTTAGAATCCAGTATTATTGCGAGAGATGCATACTTATATTACTTCAGGAGAGTGGTCTCCTACGAAACCTTCAGTTTTTATTGTGGGATATGATGATGGCTCTATTGAAGTGTGGAATTTATTGTCTAATATCTATGAACCTTATCTTGTATACTTTGTATCAACTTCTGCAGTAAACAGCATATCATTTCAAACTCTATCAGGTATTTATTGTGTTAACTCTTTCTATATATATATATCTTTTTGTATGTGTAAGGTAAAACATCTGTAAATCAAAATTATAATTTATAGTTTCATATTTTTTATTACGGATTCAACATTCTATGTTCTATACTATCAGTGCTTCTACGTCATTACATCTAAGTTTATTGTTTTATTACAATGACTTGGACAAGATGTTGTAAGTGTGGGTACACCAATAGAAACATTCATTTGTCTGAGCAATTATCAAGCTGTGTATCAACTTGAAATTAATGCTTCATTCTTCGACAGGAAATGTATCTACAAAATAGAGGCATGGATCCTCAAAGTAATGTGATTAATTGATCATTCTACACTGATCCATTCTGTTTAGCTTTTCAGTGTGCTAAACATTTAATTTGTGCTTGCATAATATTTTGATTTTCTATTCAAATCCTGGCTTACATAAAATGCTCAGTGGCAAGATCTATAAATCTGAAGATGAAAAAAAAAAATATCTATCATTTTACTGAGGTATACTAGTGCTTAAAGAATTCAGTCTGAATGTTTATACTAAAGTGATTTCAAGGATGAGGCCAGATGTTTATTATCTGTGTCAGTTTTAGATATAAATTAATAGAAATGACATCCATGGAATAAACTGCACTTCTTTTCAGTAATACGAAATTAATAAAAGTGCTATGAGTTTTCAGCTGAGCATGATGCCTTCAATTAAAATTAAAATTTTATAGCTTTAATTTAGTAATTTTAGAAAAGCATATTAATTGTTGTGTAAATATAAGTGAAATGTAACAAGATATTTTTATCTTTAAATGATTCTGCAGTCATAAAATGTGTGAGTGCATTTAATGTTGTTGCCTTGGTAATAGTATATGCTAAAATGTGCTTCATATCTTTGATGTAGTAATTTATTCATCTAGCAGAGCAGTTACAAATATTTTGTATTGTAATTCAATTGCAGATTGATAATTTTTAACGTACAGTGATTTTATGAAAGTGAAAATTAAAATTTAATGGCATTAGAAATATAAATTTAACTAACTGTTTTTTAATTAATTAAATAAAGAATTAAGTAATTTTTTTAGGTAATATTATTAAACTGTAATGTGACTAATCGTTATTTTTTTTAATTATTTTAAAAAGTACATGCAGTAATGTAAAGAATTTATCATTATTCTCAGAATCAAGTAAATTAAATAATTTTAATTTAAGAATTTTGAATATTAACATACAAAATGGTAAGGAAATGCATTTTAAGTAATAATATAGAAAAAGAAAAAGGGTTACTTTCAACATTATTATAAAAAAATTAAAACATTAATAATTTAAAAATTGAGTGACTGTAATGATGTGTAATGTAATTAAAATGTGAAATGGGTAAGAAAAAATAATTCCAAGTTATGGTAGATGAATGTTACAGTTATTTAATGAATAATTGAATGCAGAGTATAGAGTATGTTGAATGAGTACTAGTTCAGAAACAAAGGCCTATTATTACCTCTGTATAATTGTTCCTTTTACCCTCTGCATACAATATAAACTTTGAAACCTCCCACTTTCTAATTTTTTCATATGTAACTTTTATTTGTTATTTTATATATAATGGAATATTTTTTAGTGTATAATGGAATGTTTTAGTGCAGTTCACAAATGCCAGTTACCTTATGTAAGGAATGGAAGTCTTTATATGTAACTGCCAGAGCAGCCGTTAACCACTGACACTTATATACATCAGTCAGTTTAAGCTAAACAGATAGATATACTTATATTTGAAGAAAGCTGTGGAGTCTTCCAGTTTAGTGCAACAAAAAATTAGAAGTATAAAGGGGTTACACATCTAGTGACGGTCTCTAATAGACAAGACTTTTCTGAGAAATGAGATTCTGGTAGCACTGGTTTAAACGGGAGGATTCCTAGAAAAAACAGCTTTGCTGGAAGCAAAGTCTCATCTAGCTATGGAAACGATGTACCAGCTATGCTGGATTTCTTTTAACCTCGCTGAAAACTTTTCGTCTGCAGCTTTGTCCTGAGTAGAGATCAACCAATCAGACAAAAGTCCTGCTTCTGAAGGATCACGTGATCCCAATCTGAGCAATAATCTGTTACTGTTTGGCATTCAAGTCTGTTTAGTAAGTAAAAATAGTAACCTAGCCATGTAAGTTTCATGGAAATGTGCGGGTCCTGAGAATTGTGCCTTTCGACTTCCAGTCCCACATACTGGAAACATATGTGATTGGGACTTAACAGTAAAAACCATAATTTCAGTAATACTATTGTAAAATTTATAATACTATTAAAATATAAGTTATAATAATAAAAATTAATAAGAATATTTGAAATTTGTTGAGATTACTCAAAATAAGTAATGGATGTATAAAATTTTTATAATTCTGATTCTGTGTGTAAAGTTTTGAAAAGCTTTTCCTGAAAAAATATGATTATGTGGACACAAGACTTTTGGACTGAAAATTTTCATAGGACTAAAATATTATCAAAGTTTGTATTTTTCAATTATTTAAAGAACTATTTTGACAAAATTTTATTATTTGGATTTTTCAACTTATTTATCAACTTTGCTAATGCTTTAATGCTTTTTCTCTAAAAAGGCTTCTCTGTTGCTAGACCTTTTCTTCTTTGAATGGGGGGGGGAATATAAGATAAAATATATATAACTATGAATTATAATTTAAATTAGCAATAGCCCTTAATTCCTCTTTTTAATTTGGGTCTTCCTTTCTATATTCTAAAAATAGTAATAACTCTTTCTGAACTGTGCAATTTCCAGATCAATCCACATATATGAGACTTAATAATGCTAATGACATAGCTGATTCGGAACTTAAACCAAATTTTTCTCTCAATAAGCTGCTATATTGGATCTCTGCACACTTTTTGCTTCTACCTCTGTTCTCGAAGACACTGCCACACTGCTCTCTTTCTATTGCAATGGTATAAAAAATGTAAATATTCTTGAATAGGCATGATTAGAGTGCCAAATGAATATTGGCTACAAAATCTCAGTTGAAATAAAAATGAATATTTAATCTGCCTTAACTGCCAAGCTTACTCTTTAGTATAGATTAACATCTACAAAATGCAATAGTTCTGTATCTATGCTGTTAGTGCTTCTACAGTATTTTTACATCTAAGTTTGCTTTCATTGCAATGAGCATCTGCTTTATTACATATATGTGTGTATGTATATATGAATGAAAATTAAATTTTAAAATGCAAAAGAATTTTAAGACATTCAAAAAAAGTATAATTGAGCACTGAAGTAGCTTCAATTAAATCTTAAATTGCATAAATAGATTCTACTTGATGGTGGGATCGATGGTGTTTGACATCCAAATATGCACAGACAATTGATCAGCATAATGAAGATCTCATTGATTACAAAAAATAATTAATATTATAAAAGTGATAATTAATTGTTTATTGATATAAAGCTATATCATGAAGTAAGTAATCATATAAAATAAATATGAGGGGGAAATACGCTAAAATTATACAGTATGTTTGAAAATATAGTAATATTTTTTTTTTTTTTAGCCTGAAGGAGCATTAACTCAGAAGGGCTGTTAGTTTTGTTTAAGCATTTTGCATTGGTTCACTATAAAAGTCTTTCTTTACATTTCTTACTGGTTCTTTACATACAAGGTTTCTTTACATTTCTTACTGGTATTATGTTGGTAATGTAGCAATGCAAAGTCATTACAATGTCTAACAGTACTGTGCATCAAAGGATTTTGAATGTCTGTATCACTTTTCACATCCTGTTTTGAATCCCCCATGAAAAAAATGCCCCTTTCGGCATAATATAAAATCTGAAAGCTTTTAAATTTTATGTTTTTAATTAATTTATTCATTTATTTTTACTATTGCTCATGACAGTTTTTCACAAGCAGCTACTTTAACAATATTAAGTTCATCAGCTTTAATTTGAAGAAATGCAAACCGAATTTTCAGCATTTGTTGCTGATCTTTTTTTGATATTCTCACTTGTTCAAGACTATGTAGTGCAGTTACACTAATCCTTTATATTTTACATTTAAAATGTCTCTGTTGCTGTTTTTCTTTCCCCAACTTTACAGCAAAACTTTATTATTGGTATTTTTTATTCAGCTTTCAAACCCATGACAGAAAATGTTCACTGACTCGAATCAAATGATTAACTGCACAGAAAATTATCCGTATAAGAGGTAGTATTTTAAGAGAAGGAAGTTGAGATATCATAGTAATCAGTGACATCAATTATTAATTGGCAGGTTTACTGGAATTTCTTTAAAAAAAATTAATCTTAAAATTTTTTTGATATGCTGTGTGTATAGAGGGCGATTCAAAAATATCTGGCAAAAATGTAAAGACAAGTAGAGAAGAATGATATAGGCAGATTTCTTAGCGGTCTGCAGATGTAAGAATGGCATAGATGGTACAGAGTGCTGTTGTGCTAGAAGCAAAAACATTCTGGTAGCGTAAATAATCATTTCCCATGAAAATTTTGAGTGGTATGCATGGCTACAATGCTTGCAGAATGCGCCAATGTTCATTTTATTTATGAAGTTACAGCAGAAATAGAGCAGCTACTCAAAGAAGGTACAGATAATGATTCCCAGGCACCTTCTTTGAGCAAATGCTTCATTTCCATCCTCTGCTCCATGAATAAAATTCATGTTGGAGATTACCACATTCTTATAGCAATACATTGTCACTTGAAATTTGTGCAGAAAATGATGATTTATACCCACATATTTCTTTTATTTACTTTGACTATCCAGCAATGCTTTTTACCACCTCAATGCACCAATTCTGCACCCGCATTCCATTACAAAATCTTCTTATTTTGTTATTCCCTACCTACATTTACATTTTTGACAGATACTTTTGAATCATCCTGTATTTTATGGACAAAGTATGAACTATGGCTATTTTAGGTTTTGCTCAGCCAGTTCTAGGTTTCTTAACTGAAACTGGCCAAAGTTCAAAATTATATTGTTGTTAGTTTTAATGATTTTGCATGAAATTGATGTTATTGATGAATAAAAAAATTTTATTTTATGGTAGAATTTAAAAAAAAGTATATTTCATTTTTAGTGCACAGTTAGAAATGTATCTGAAAATATTTTTGCACAAAAAATAAATTACTGATGTATGCATTTATAGCCATTTCTTCAAAGATGTTAAAATCGTATCGTCTGCTATAATAGCTATCTGTTATAAAATTCCTGTCATTATATTTTCAAACTGTATAAATAGAAGCAAAAGCAGATCCTGGTGTTAAGATCATCATCAGCCTATCCAACACCTCAAAACAAAACAGGGCTTTCCTATTATTCACATTCCCACAAAAAGTACCTAATTCATTGCTGACTTTGTGAATTAACAGAAACCATTTGTTACTCATAGATGCTGTTCTGTTCATAAATGATAATAATAAAAAAATGCATTTTATAGGAAATAAGAAAATGTATGAGAAAATGAAAATTCTATATAACCAATATTTACATCTTTAAAGCCATTGGATACTATTAAGTGAAATAAAGTTTAAATTTAAAGCATTGAAATCCACATGTATGGTGTGTGTGTGCGTATGCTTGTAACACTAGTACCCATTATAATTTCCTCCCTGCAAAGAACATAGCATCAGAAGAAAAATGCTTATCCTATTCTTTTATCAATATGACATAATATCCTTAGACTGGTCATTACATGATGCAGCAGTAAGTGAGGAATACCACTGCAGACTGCTCGAAAATCTGAAAGTTAAATAACATGGAAAGTCAATGAAATATGTGATCTGTTATGTGTTGGTCAAAGAGAGAATTATGATTAATCTAATCTATCCAGCTATTTTCATCATTCTTCGATGTATATTATTATCCTTCAGTATCCTTCCACATTAATATCATTCTTCAACATATGTGCTGATATCCTATGCCATTAGATTGTATTCCTGTACTAAGCTATTTTCTATAATTTATCCAATGCATAACTAGAAAAGAGTTAATATGTGTATCCAGTTTGCTGCTTCAAGAGATTTACAGTTGATTTTATAAAATTCAACAAAAAAAAAAAAATAAATAAATCTGTAATCTTAGATTCTGAAGCAACAGAATTTTATAGAAAGGAAAACTGCAAGACCATATGGATCTAAAAATTGAAAGAATTTGTAAATTCTTAATTTAAAAATAAATTAATATTAGTTTTAAAACAAAAGACTAAGTAAATAAATATAAAAATTTAGAGGGTTGGAAAGTGAACATGACCATATTTAATGTGAGTGTGTTTCTCTTCCAACTTGAGAAAAACATTACATTAAAAACTTTTGAGTTGAGTAACGGATGCCTTTGTATTCTCAGAGTAACAAGCACACATTTGATCATGGCTTAATCCTCAAATTAGAGATTATTATATACCATAAAAAATATTTGAATTTTGTTGTGGAATTGGATAAAATATAAGCTTTTAAACAAATATTAATTATTGCTGTATTCTTTGATTTAATTCATGATTATTGGAGAAGTTGTAAGCTCCTCCAATAATTATCATTTGGTGTGTTATTTTAACTCAGATTTAATTCATGATCTTACAGAAAATGAGCAAATTGTGGCAATAGGAGATGCAAAAGGAGTTGTTTATAAATTGACTGTACCACATTACTTATGGAAACCCACATATAATGAAGTAATTAAATTTCCAATCTTAAGAGCTTTTTGTTTAAATTTATTTTTTTCACAATATATTTGTAGTTCAGTTATTGATTCATCTTTGCTACTATATGTTACATCAAAATTTTAAAATCAAAATGCAGAATAATCATTATTGATTGTTCTCAACTGGAATTAGTCACAATGTTCAGAAGTCAATATGTATATAATGGGTCTTTTCATTAAATCATCTTTTTTTAATTACAGGAGAAATGACAGAAAAATGGCTCAGTTCTTCTTCCTTCATATTTTATAAATGCTAACTGCTGGGTTTTACTTTTATATTTGTTTATTCAACTTTGTAAAAGTAAACTTAACTTTTACAAAGTTAACAAAAGCAAGCAAAATCTCTATTTTTATAGTGAGAAGATTTTTGTTTTTAAATTTTATATCACTTTTCTTCCATTTCTTCTTAAAAGAATTATTAGTGATCATTATATTTTTATATTTTTCTTCACTGCCTTTTTTAAATATTTCCTGATATCTAACAATTCTGACTGATACTCATAATTTCAAAATAAATTTGTAAAACTGACAGGAATTTCATATGTAGAAAAGCTGGCAAAAAGAGTAGTTTCATTGTCATAACACAGCATTTCTCAAGCTCATCATTTTCTCTTTTTCTTTCATTCTTCAATACAGCAACTTTTCAAATGAGGAATAAATTACAATGTTCTGAAAACCACCTTATTTTTGTTTCCTTCAAAAGCAATTTTTTTAACATATGTTACTATCAGTATATTTCTATTTTTAAAATAAAATTAATTAAAATTCATTTAATTTTATATTGATATAAAGTAATTAAGTCAATGGAAGAAAAATTATTTTCAAGCTACCAGAGTTTGGATAATCTTTGTATTTTTTACTAAAAGTTAAATAAATATTGGAACTTACATTAATGAGATAGATTAGATTGCCGATTCTTCTGCAGCTATTCTGTCTTTGGTAGCACCACCATCATAATGCTTTAAAGCCCTGTTTTGTTTCTTAGATTAGATTGGGAAATCTGTAGGTAGAGTAACCAGTAATAAATTTAATAAAATATAAGTCTTGGGGGAAATTGATAGATGACATCACTATGTCATTCCCATACTCTGAGATTTTCCACTATAGTGTGGTATACACAATTAAATTGAATCTTATATTTCATCTTTTTGAAAATCTAAAGGTCAGGCTTCAAGGACCACAGGCTGAGAAATGCTGTTATAACACATAAATTATTAAAATCTACCACAGTAATGAAATCATTTCTAACAACAAAAAGTAAAAAACATGCCTTCTCAAATTGTTTTTACACATTTTGTAGACAAAGAGTATAGAAAAACCAGGCCTGACAAAATGTGGCTGGATATTATTATATAGAGAAAAAGTAGACCGTAATTATGTATTTTGTATTCGACTATTTCAAAAATAAAAATTGTCATCAAACAGTATGATGTGTGATTTAGCGCCAGTAATGGATAAGTGAGACAGAACAATCCACTTACATAAGTCTTTTGCCTTAATTTAATGTGAGCTTAATTAATTCTTGATATGGAAACCTGGAAGCATTTGCCCTTCCATCAACTAATTTTAGATGATTAGTATATGTTTTAATAAATTTCTTTGTGTGATAATCTCAAAGTTTGAGATCATATTAATTTTAATTTTTTGCATGCTGTATCCATAATTTGTGTGTGTCGATTATATAATTAAATCAACAATGATCTGGGATTTTAGTCCTTCAAAATTCTGAATGACTGGCGACAATTTGGTAGAACCTTCACCAGCTTTTATAGTCAACAAGAGCCAACATTCACAGTGAACAGGAAAGTATAACAGTACCAAAGACTAAATCAGGATTGCTTGCAAATCTGAAATTATTTATTTTATGTTCTATTAAATAGTTCTAACACATAGAAGCTTTTTTTTTCCTTCAAAAAAGTGCTAGACTCTCAAGTTATGTGATTAAGTTCAATTTCAATGAACAAGCAATCACCCAAAACTGATTTAATTAAAATTAATATTTATAAAAAAATACTATAAATTCCTCATAAGATGGCAAATAATTACTGAATAAAATGCTCAGTATTTTATTGATTAAAGTTATTTCTTTGTATATTATTATTTTTAATTTTAGCCTTCTAAGTGACATGGCTTTTTGGATGTGCTTATAAAGAATTTATTTAAACAGCACGTATTTTCTAAATTTGAACAATTAATTATTATAATCTCTGTTCTCATAAATTTTCATCTCTTAATATAATACTTTGTCATCAAAGAAAATTATGAAATAAAATATTCGAAATAATAAGGTAACTGATGCATTTTGCAGATAGCCAAATAATATCGTAAAACAGTTTTTTTTAAATAATATTTAATGAAAAATTTATTCTGTAGCTGGAATTAACAATACAGTACATAAATGAAGAATCGGACAGAATACAAAAGTTCAGTTATGAAGCAAAAATGCCCACTGAAAAACCTGAAGAAACTTTTATACAACAAATAGAAAAGGCAAAGGTATAATCTCCAGATTTATTACAAATACTAATTTTATTAACTATGTTTTTTAATATTACTACATTTAAATATCGTTGTTGCTATCAGATTTATTTAGGTTCAGTACAAGTATGTCTTATCCTAATTATTAGTATTGATTTTAATCAGAAATTTATATTTAATCAACTGCAATGGTCAGCTTCATTTTACGGATTAATTCCAATAAGAAACTTATCAAAGGATGGCACATCTTTTGAAGGCAGAGTTTACTACATACTAATGCTTCAAACAAGCAATATTTGGATTATATCTTAACAGAAAGATAACTATTTCTAATATAAAGACCTTCCATAAGCTGCGTAAAAATAGTTTTGTATGAAAATGAAAACAAATCAACTAAAATTAACAGAATTCTATGAATGGAAAGAACTTGAAATTCTTTTAACTCAGCAACTGATAAAGGATCTTCACTACCTTGATCAAGAAGAATAAGAGTAACTTTAGTTTCGTTTTCGTTGCAAGCCAAAAACAGTGTATGTTTGCAATAAATTATTTTTCGAAATAAGAAATTTTACTCTGAGAAACATTAGTATAACATTTAAAACTACAGCTTCCCTCTTCGAACTTGAGGTAATTGATTCATTTTTAACTAAATTACATAAATTTGATTTTTCCTCATTATTTTTCAAATATATAGATTCATGATGACTTTTATCTCTGCAAAATGACTCAAATGAAATTTCTTAAAACATTTAAAACATCGATTATGTGCTTTAAGAATGTTTATTTTCTCAATTACCCCTTTACAACATATAAAAGAATCATGGTGTTTCTCAGAGAAGATGCATACTCGCTCTACTGTTGTGTGAAATACACTAGCCGTGGGTGTATTTCTGTTCTTTTATTTACAGTTTTTTGATTATAACAATTAGTAAATGTTTTATTTTCACCTCAAGCCAATAAAATATTTTTGTGATATTCGACCTCCTTCTATAAGAATAAAATCAATTTAGAAATGTCAACGTCGCCTTCATACCTTTGCCTGTTAAATTCTGAAATTAGATCGTGAGGCAAGATTTTTTGTAAAATAGGCATTAGCAAATGTCCGAAAGAGCCTGATGTAACATTTATTGCCTCTAAATTTTGAACAGGGATCTCAGGGTTATCATAAATTCTGCATAATGCTGAAACATTAGAAGAACTTTTTACTTCTTCTAAATTTATATTTTATTCACAAAGGAATTGATAATATCATCTCTTTTCCCAAATCTGTTTTTCAGAATTTTTATGCAGTTGTCATAATTATTGTTAGATAATTCGAATCCTGAAACAACATTAGCAGTTTGACCAGTTAAAAAGGTTTTAAGATACACAAATTTTTCAACTTTCGAAATGTTTTTCATTCTATCAGCCATTCTTTCGAAACTGTTCCAAAAATGTTACCAGTGTTTCCAAACTCCGGAAAATGTCTTAGTTTATTGTAACAACTTATCTTATTTATTGCAACAACTTAAACTGTTATGACACTTTGAATTGCACAAGAGTCACTTGCTAACAAAGGTTTCAATCTTCAACAGAGCATATCTGTGCTTGTTGACATTTGCCAGTAATAGTCCGAATATATTAGAATATAACCAAATATTCGATCTTTCACTGACGTATTTGGTACATATTAACATTCATTTCGGTGTTTCACGGTAACCTACATATATGCGTAGGCAAGTCAAAAATTACCTATACTTTTGTCATAACTTTTCTTACATTGCGTACTTTGTCTTCTGTCCTCGCATATTTTATTGTTATACTGTTGTGGTAATGCTGTGTAAATTTGATCTTAATTCCTTCATTTTTCTTCCCTCTGTTGCAGATATATCATGGCTGCTCCATTAGAAGTTTGCACCAAAGAGGAACAACAAGCAGTGTTCCGATTCCTCTGGTCGGAGGGTGTCAAAGGGTCAGACATGAATAGGCGAATCATTATCAATGAGGTAGCATCTGCTTTGAACATCAGTCATGGCTCTGCCCATCAAATCATCCATGACGAGCTCGGTTTTCATGAAGTCTGTGCACGGTGGGTACCAAGAAAGCTTACTGCAGAACACAAGCTCACTCGTGTTAGGGTCTATCAACACTTTGCCAAAACACAGTTTTACATGATAGTGCACTTCTCCCTTATTGCGATGAATGTCTGACCCTTTGACACCCTCCGACCAGAAGAATTGGATCTGCTTGTTGTTCCTCTTTCGTGAAAATTTCTAATGGAGCAGCCATAATATATCTGCAACAGAAGGAAGAAAAATGGAGGAATTAAAATCAAACTTTCACAGCATAAAGTGCGCAATGTAAGAAAAGTTATGACAAAAGTTTTTTTAGATAATTTTTAACTTGTCCATGTATAATCAAACGAACATTCTCCTTTTCTAGCATAACATTCATATTGCTCAGTCTGAAATTACAAAGATCTCTTAAATTGATAAATATTGAGAAAATACATGTTATAAACACCCTAAGAATTAAAAATCCAGTATACAATTTTTTAAGACCAAATCTCAGTTTTATCTGATAATCTTTTCTTTGTTTTTCATTTTTTGATTTTACTCAATAAGTAGTGTTGCATACTCAACTGTAATTATGGCTATGGAAGCTATGTTGCCACATTAAATTCTTTCTCAAATGCATAGGATTTTTTAATCAACCTCTCATCAAGTTTGCATAGTCTCATCATATCTATCACAACTTTTAATACTGAAGATGTATTTATTATAAATAATTATATCCAAGTTCTTTCATTCATACAGCCACCAGAAGATATTCCAAGAGAAATCACAGAAGAAGAATTACTTTTAAAAAACTATGCAGAATTCCAAGAGTTAGAAAAGATCCAGTTGCAATACTTAGGTTTAATCGAAGATGATAACGAAGAAAATGAAGATGAGTAAGCAAAAATTAATATGTCCATGAAGCATATGAATGAAAAATCTTTTTCACATTATGTCAGTTTCAAAATAGTAATATTTAAATATAAAATTGTGTTTTCTACTATGAACTGATCATAAAATGGAACTTTGTGTATAATAAAATATATAGTCAAATAGTGCAAATAATTAAGTTTTTCATTGACAGGTTATAGAATACATTTCCAATTTAGCCAACAGACAGATAAAAAAGTCGGCATATCTGTAATTTACCAAACAAAAAAAAAAAAAAAAAAAAAAAAAAAAATGTACAAGAAATATTCCATTCTCACTTTTGGAAAATGCAAATTATAAAATATTATATAATCATATACATATATTCACTTTTAAAAGTATTATAGCAAAAAAAGAGAAAAAATGGAATATAACAAATTTTTAAATATGAAGTAACTGGAAGGTTCATCTAAGAATATAATACTAAAAACCAATTATTTTAAAAATATATACCTATTATCAATGTTTTCTATTAAAAGCTATTATCCTTCTTCCTTTCACAGCCTGCAAATCTGACTAATTGTACAGTCAGTGTTTCATATTATATGAATCTTTTTTCTGGCTAAAACTATATACCAAAACAAATTTTAAAAATTAAAAAAAATCTTTCAGATTTTACATTACACCCTAAGGGGTGTTTTTTTAACGTTTTGTGTGTTACCTTTATTTATTAAATAACATGTTCTTTGTGCTCAAACAAAGAAATTCAATTCAACAGCAATACCGCAAAATAAATTTTAAACGAGCATATCTTTAGAATTTCTGATGCACAGTCTCGCGCTGAAGATAAGAATGTCCCCCCTCCCCCCATATAGTGTTGCCATTCCTCGCTTTGAAATCGTTGAGTTTTGTTAATAAAAAATTTGTTAAAGTGTTACAAAATATGAAATTGATAATAAAACAAATTCCAAATTCAGGTTTCCAGATGCCCATATTTGGTGGAGGATTACGCTATTCAAAATTGGATGGCTCTACGTACCGTTGTTTTATATCAATGCGAGAAACATATATACATTTATGCAGATTCTTCATTATTTAATTTCTTTAAATATTACACAGGGTGATAATATTTTGTGGCAACAATTTGAAAAGTGATTCGTTGTTTATAGTGAATCGATACAAAATGTCAAAATGAAATTAATAGCCCTTCTGTGCAAATTGGTCCTTTGAGCATAAAAAAAGAACTCTGTATGATTTCCAAAGTTTACTGTAAAATGTTTTATCCTAGAAATGATATTTGATTTTTACATATATCCTTTTTAAAGCAATTTTAACCTTTCTATATATTTTATTATGCTTCAAGCAATCAGGGATTTGTCTCCAAAATGCTAAACTTCCCCAAAAGGCAACAAGTAAATAGTATTTTCTTGATTTAAATTTCTTAATGAATCTCCCTTTCTTTGTACCTTGACTCCTCCTATTTATGTGCATATATAGATATATGTTCATTACCTTAATTGTCTGGATACATTTCAAGATGAATGTCTGCCTACTTAAGAGAATCATGACAAGTATTTTTGAATGTATCTACAGGGTGTCCCATAAATGTTGAGACAAACTTCTGGGGAAGGTAGAGCACATCATAAGGATTAAGAATTGCATAGAAACCCCTGCCCAGAAACGTCACTGTATGCCGCCAGGGAGTGTTGTACAGGAGAGTGCTAGTGGAAAGTGACGATTGCGGCATTAAAGTGGTAGGCACCATATGAAGAGCATGGAATGCTATATGAATGGAGAGCTTGTGAACATGTGGTTTCAACGTGATGGCGCCTGCTCATTTTGTACTGGATGTTCGTAGCCATTTGAACAGATCATTCCTGCATCGATGGACTGGGCGTAGTGGACTGGCTCCTTGGCCCTCATGCTCAGCGGATTTATCGAGCCTTGATTTCTTTTTGTAGGGCGCATCAAAAGTATCGTGTCTGAAATGGATCTCATGGCAAAACTCGCCTGCGCAGCTGCTACAATCAAAGAAACTGCCGGTGTGTTTGAACATGTCCGGCAATCAATGGTCCGTCGGTGTCAGGCATGTTTGGCGTCTGATGGTGCAAACTTCGAGCATCTGTTGTATCATTTAAGCTGTCGTCACCATTTGTATCCATGTCCAATAAATGTTTCAAATTAATCACTCTCTTGTTTCCTTTCTCATCTTCCACCTCTGCTACCACTTACCCCTGACATTTACAGGCATGGGTTCCTATGTAATTCTTAATCCTCTTGATGTGCCCTACCTACCCCAGAAGTTTATTGCAACATTTATGGAACACCCCCTATACAGCTTGGCCATATGGGTGGGTTACAGTCGGAAAACAGTACTCATATTATATTACATGTATGACTGACGACTGAGTTAATAAATCCAGATGCTGAAAGTTACAGATTGTGCAATCTAAAAGATGACATAGCATAACTGGGTTAGAACCATTAATTAATACTATGAATTAGTATCTAAAATTATGCATTATTATCATGTCTATCTAGGCAAAATTTCATGTAGCTATTTTTAGGTAATAATAATGTAATCTTTTTTTGAACCACTATTGGCTGAGTGAGAACTTGCTGAACACTTTTAGTTTGGCACAGGCTCAGATCTCACAGTTACATGGGAGTTTTTATGGCCTTTTTCCCACAAGTAATGTGACTATAAGCTAGTTTCTCTTTAAATGTCCTTCATTAAAACATTCTACCTTTGGCAGATAACTCTCATCTGTTCTGCCATAATCGAATCCCTTAATTAATTTATTTATTTTAAATATTTATGTAATAGGCACATGCATTTATCAGTAAGACAGGTATTCTCATAACAAAAGATTCATGTGCACATGATAAATTTGCTCATAAAATAATGCTACTAAGATCATATATATTAGAAGTTTTTAAGAAATTATTGAATTTTGAACATTGAAGAAAATATTGAATTTTTGTCTACATGCAAGTATTTAAATATTGACAATAAATATGCACTGAGGCATATAAACAAATATTTATTCAACTGGAATTTCAAAACATTCAATTAAATATTTGCAGCAACTTCAATGTAGTACTTGCAGCAACTTCCTGCAGAATATACAGAATTAATATTTTTTGTTTCTTAAAGTGCATGTAGGAATGTATAAGCATTTTCCCAGAATTCAGTACAACATACCACAGAAACACTAAACAAATAAGAGGTAAGCCATTTTATTGAAATATAGTGGAATGGAAAAAGAATTGCATAAATGTTCTCATTTCATACAGTTCATTAATATGCTTAAAGACAAACTAAAACAATAAACAAAAAATATCACCGGAATGTCTATTTACAAATAAAATTTTCACCAGTATAAATCCATATCTATCACAGTGAAACCAATAAATATTAAAAATTTATAAACACTTCTAAAAATAAGAAAAAGAAAAAAATGCTTGGTCTATATTTTCCAAAGACTAAATCATTTTCTTTAAAGAATATTTTGTAAAAATATATTTTATTCAAAATATAAATAAACTTTATCATTACTCATTTTCACTATTTCATGGAACGGCATTTAGTGACACTTCATGTAAATTATTTACATATAAAACAATTATCTTGATTAGTAAGAATTATTTTAAATTTAAAACCAGAATTATTTATGTATAAATGCATATAATACTTTGGGGGGGGAGAATTAGATGCAAATTATAACTGATTGTAATTGTATAAAGTACTACTTTTTCTTCTTGAAGCTACACAATCAATAAAAATGACAAACTACAACTAATAAATAAACATATTTCCTAAACTACTACACTATCAGAAAAATTGATATTTGAATAATTTTCACACAGTTGTTGAGTAAAGTGCAGTTAGCAAAGAAATTTGCATCATTTTAATTTCAAAAATTACATCTTTAACAACATATATAAAAAGGTAGGTCATATACAAGAGCAAAATGTTATGTCAGAATAAAATTTTTCTTGCAACCTCTTATGTAGCAAGCTACTCAACAAAAGAACAAAGTAAATTTAAATTCATTTGACAAAAACAATACAGCATATAATAAAAAATAATTGTTACATTTTTCTCTGTTTTTCAAAATCTTCATTACTTACATAAATGCATAGTTCAGAGAAACAAAACCGCAATAGGATAACTTGAAGACATATATGTATAATGATGACATATGAAATAGTCATATTAAATAACTTCAGATGATTAATTCAAAATTATAAAAAAATTTTCCATAAATTATGCTATATTACTTTTAAAATGGATATTCTTTTAAGTACATTTTCTATTCAATATAAAGTAACAGAAGGTCAAGAAGTGGATCTGAACGAAATTATCCAGAAAGGTTTTCAAATGATTTCTTTTTTTTTTTTTCACTCACACATCAGTCTAATGTAGGACTGGAAGAGGCAGAATCATACAGTATTTAGCATAATCTGATAACTTATCCTAATCTCCAAATTACATTGCATCAATAATGCACTTGAAAATATTCTTTTATCAAAATATTCACAGACTGTAGATCTTGTAGTTAAAATGACAAGATGCTAAATCAACTCAGATGATATTTAACATTGCATTTGTTAGATCAGTTTTGTTATAATACACTATTAAAAATCATTGCTTTGATATGAGCATTTCTGATTGCTCCAAAACGATTTCCTTATAATGCAGTGTTTTTCCACCATTAAATCAACTTTGAAATTCCCAATTTAAATTAATGATATATATCTTTTAGCTATTTAATTGAAAACTTTAAACTAGAATAGATTTTGATGTGATACCATGACACAGATAAATTTACCTACAAATCTGGCCATACTGGAAACCAGAAACTGTGACTCCCAATCGGATTTAATAAAAATGTATAAAATTAATATCCCTAATATGAGAATAAAAATAAAATACTGTAAAATACAAATTGTACTACTAAAAACAACAGTTAAGACTGTTTTCAATGAGGTATGTAATCTTCTTCATTGGAATACATAAAAATAAAATACCGGTAGGATATGTACCAACAGTAAGGAACCTAACAAAACACCCAAAATATGGTATTTGTAAAAATTAGTACAATAAAATTACTTTAGTATGTAATTTCTCAATAAACGCACTCTTTCACATTCTAAATTTATTTCAATCAAATAAATATAAATTGTTTAAAGTTTTGTGAAGTTTGTAGTCATACAAACGTACAGAAATTATTACACACACACATGTATGTATAAGTTGTGTGTAATGACACTCAATCATCAATGTAATTAAGTTATGATACTTATAATTATAGACATATTTCAGAATATAATTTTACAACTACTTCATAAATGTGGATAACTTCTCTTACACTCACAGGTTTAGTGTCTGCTTTAATTATTTATTTTTTATTTTTCTTATACAGACATTTTATACACTTACAAATTCAAAGAGGCCAAATGTAGTTAAAAAATAGTAATATATGTTACATTAAACATTTTTTAATAAACATTATGCAGCAGTGACTTTATACAAATCCCTTCTCTCCCTATTGGAAAGTAGCAAATTTTTAGTCTTTAAATATTTAAAATTTAGAATTCGTTTAACACAACTCTTACCATCACATCCCCTAAAAAGTCTGGAAATGGGAATGAATAAAAATACTTTAATATATGGTTAAGTTAAAAACATACTAATGTTACTTCTCTGTACCTTTCTGATTAAAGTATTTATCATAATGTGCTACTAGTTGCTGCATGCACTTGTTCATACAATCCTACCACCAGACCATTGAGCTAATCCATTTTATAAAAGCACAAAACCATCTGATAGCTATTACATGAAAATGTTTCCAATTATTTTCTTATATCATGCATAGACCATCAGTCACAATACATTTTCCTTTTCAGATTTTTCTCATTACTGACATCTCCTTTGCTCTAGAAATTAATGGTATCATTTATACCCAATACTTTAACTGATGTATGTTTTTCATTAACAATTTACTATGAATTTTAGCTGCATTTTGGCTTTCACTTGAAGAAATTTAAAATTGGAGCACTTGGCAAAAACATCAGTTCCATCATATATCTTACATGTACATTACACAATCTCCAATGGGTGGAAGAAAATGCTAGAACAAATGATACAACATAGTATGTATCTAATTTATGCAAATATGAAACTTTTTATTCATCCCATTTTTTATTTACAAGCTCTTTGGAACTTCCAGCCCTTGTACTTTGATGTATTACACTCCTTTAATGCACATATAAACAATATTTTGACCTAGTATAAATAGATTTAAATGACATAAATTTATTACAAAATATAAGTCAACTGAATTACTTTTGTATATAAAAATCATTTACTGTATTCATAAATTAAAGATGTGGCATACACATATAATAATGTTTTGCTGCATAATAAATAATTTTTTTCATTTTTAAATCAATAACTTCTCTCACATTCATAATTTTTAGTCTATAAAATAATCATAAAACTATTACATTCATTTGCAATATTATACCAAAATTATGTAAAAAAGATTATTAAATCTTAAGTCCAAATTTTAAAATTTCAAAGCAATATGATATATATTGATGATTGGATAAGTCATGCTGAATAAAAATCATAGTTTTGCTCTTATTGACTGAACTTCTGGTTTTGTCAAAAATTCTCGCCACCAAGCTGGTCTTTCTAAGGCACCAGGAGTATTCAAAAAGCATTCATATAAATTTTTATAAATCTGAAAAGGAAAAAAATTATCTGAATTTGAATGCATTTACAGAATATTTCACCGAGTAATAAAATTCATCAATTATCACCGTAAAAAAGAACTAAAGTCAGTTTTAAGAAAAATTTATCCTTGCATTCAATAGCAGAGTTGCCAACTATCCTGACTTAGGTGGGAGACTCCCGATTTTCAACCGCTTTCCTGCCAACCCAATTTACAATATATTTCTCCCGACTTTTTCTTATTCTTAAAATTTCTCACGATTTTTATGGAACTTGGCTTAATACTTTGTTATATGAACAATAAAAAGTGATTTTGGACGTCTGAAAGCAATTGAATTTTCTCTAGATTATATCTAAAACAAAACTTTGCGAATTAGATAACTTCTGCTTTGTGAGTGAGAGCATATACGTATCCAGAAACGTCGTTCTCCAGTTCTCCAATGGGCATCGTGCTCCATTGCGTGTCACCTGGCATATGTTAACCAATGAGGACAAAGCAAGCTGTTATTTGGATGTTCTTTAGTTATTTCGGTCATTTTGTCCTGAGTTGTGTGAGTACACATGCCTTCGGAAAAATAGCTTTAGAAATTATCATCTTTTCTTATGTCCTGCGAGAAAGGTGAAATACTCGTGTACGTTTCAAAAATCGTACACAGTTGGCTTTCCTTCCATTATTTCCTCAAAGAAATGTAATAAATTTGCAATGTGTACCGCATGTTATTGCGATTTTTCGATTTCGCATGGTGGAAGGGCGGATGTTCTCAAACATGTGCATACACAAAAACACAAGGACAAAATGAAATGTTTTGAAAAAAACGAAAAATTTAGTTTTTATTGGGAAGCGAAGGACCAATAAGTTATTGATGCAGAATATCTGTTCTCTGCCTTTTTACTGGAGCACAACCTGCCACTGAATGCATCGGATCACGCTGCAGCTTTATTTAGAAAAACTTTTCCCGATAGTGAAATCACTAAGAAATACTCAAGTGCAAGAACCGAAACAGGTGCAATTGTTAAAGAAATGGATTTGAAAAATAAATCTTCAGTTATTGATTGCATTAAAACAGCTCCGTTCTGCCTCTCTACGGATGGAAGCAATAATACCGATTCAAAACTGTATCCAATTAGTGTTTCTTTTTTTAATCCAGAGTCTTCAGAAAATGAGTACAGTTTACTTTCTGTCCCCACTTTAGAAGGACATTTGACAGGCTTTACTATAGCACAGCTAATTATTAAAACTTTAACAAAAAATGTCCCTCTGGATAATTGCTTAGCAATTGGTGCCGATAATGCACCAGTATTGGTAGGCTTGAAGACTGGTGTTGCAGGCATCTTAAGAAAGGAAAATTCAGATTTTCAGATTATGAGGTGCACCTGTCACCTCTTAAATTTAGCAGCTGAAAAAGGGACAGCTTCTTTACCAATAAATGTGGATGAACACATTGTTGATATTTACTATTATCTTGAAAGGAGTTCTAAAAGGAAGGGAAAATTGAAACATTTTCAACAGCTGCATAACAGCAGGTTACAATTAAAAAACTTGGATGAAGTTATAAAATCAGTTAGGATTGACACCCAGTGGAGTTTAATTGGAAAACTGAAAGATGCTGATGGAATTTTAAAATATAGTGAACTGTCTAGAATTATGTTGGTCATGTTGACAATTCCCCATATTAATGCAGAGTGTGAGAGGATTTTTAGTGTTGTTGCGAAAACGAGGACTAAATTTAGATCTAAAATTAGTGATGACACATTAGAAAAACTTTTATTAGCGAAAGCAGGCCTACGTGGCAATTGCTATGAACAAACTTATGAAGTCTCTTTCTTAAAGAAAGCAAAATCTGCCACTGTTTATAACATTTGTACGAAAACTGATTGAAGTTTTTTTTCTTTTTTTCCGTTTTCTTAAACGATGCAAGTAATAAAAATGTTTTTTAGGTGTAAGGTATTTTTGTGTTGCATTTAAGAATTAGTTACTATTTAAAGTTAATTCATTATTAAAAACTATATTTTCATCATTTAAAAAGTCTTTTTAACATTGTGAAAAATCTCCCGATTTCTTAAAAAAATCTCCTGATTTTTTATTGTCGTAGGTTGGCAAGTATGCAATAGTCAATTAAAATCTTAATTATGTTATCATATAATATATTTAATGATAATGTATAATGTCTGCATTTTTATGATTAACTTGTATATACAGTCAAAAGTCGTTAATCCGGAATGATCTATAATCCGGACCTCAAAGCTAAAAACTTTCTGCGCATGCGCCGCGTTGCCACATGCACATAGGCATTTATGCGTGCGCATATGCGTGTGTGCAAGTGCAGAATGCGTTTTCGTGTGCGCGTTTTATGTATAACGGACGGTATAAGCTAAAATTATCTAATTATCTATTTCAGTTAATGTTGATGATTGCGTTGTTCCTTAATCTTCGAATTGGATCCAGTTTATTATTTTTTGCAGACTGTAAGAGCAATTTTATAAAAGTAAACTTGAACTTTCGATTATGTCAAATAGAATTTCCGATTTTAGAGCTCCCAAAGGATCTACAAAACGAAAGTATGTTTCTATGTCCATGTCCATCAAACAAAAAGTGTAATTGCTGCAAAAAATGGATAAAGACATGAAGAAGGTGACAGAGAGGTTAGTGAAAACAAAAAAATTTCGATTGATAAGTCAGTCGGTATTCTCGGACAGCAATTACGGGACTTGAACAGCGGAACTTTGTAACTGAACAAGAAATTATGTCTGTTTATAGAATTAAAGAGAAAGTATTATCACATAAAATGAAGCAACTTAAACAACTTACATTGAAAGAAATGTTTAAGAAAGTAAACAAATAAATATTAAGCTTTTTTTTTTTTTTTTTTTTTTTTTTTTTTTTTTTGTAAATTTGATACCCTTTAGATCATAATTGTTCTTTATTTCATGAATTACGGTTTCATATTTTTAATTTTAGAATTTCTGCATGCCATCTTACGAGATTTAAACTGATGATCTATAATCCGGAATCGGCGAAGTCCCGACGAGTCCGGATTAACGACTTTTGACTGTATTGCTTTAAAAAAATTAATAACAATATTGAAGATATACATCACAATCTTAAGCACTATACTTTGATTAACTAATATCAACATATGCTTAGCTGCAATGGACTTTTTAAATATCAATAAACAGGAGTTTATTCAATGTTTCCAGTTCATTAAAATTAATGGAATAATTTCAGTGCAAAAATCAGCTAAAAAATAACACACACACACACACACACACATGTTTATAAAAGTGAATACCTGCATGTGTGTGTGTGAGTCATACAGATTTTATAAGCTGCAGCTATGTAGTATGAGTAAACTTAATGTTATATACATTAATTTATTAATGTTATATACATTTCATGATTTCTCTTAATAATGTATCTTTAAATTAAGTAAAAATGTCACATGCAGTTTTCTACATCTAATAGCACAGAAAATTTATATTGATTTTTTAAAAGTAATTATCATAAATCATGAAAATACATAAAATATTACTAAATGAATTACTGACATAGCAAGCTTATCACATTCAGTCAGCAATTTAAACTATTCAAATAAAAACAAAAACTTTCTCAAACATGAGATAACAGGTAATACAATATGCATGGAAAAAGCATGACTGTCATATGAGGTACGAAAATCACACATTTTTTTTTAATTCTTCCCCCCCCCGAAAAAAAAATATTTTTTTAACCATAATGGCATTGTTCATGATTAATCTGCCTATGAAATCTCTCAGATAATCACAATTGTACTTAGATTTCATGAAATATTTCAAACAGACTTTAAGAGTGGAGAAAAAGTTCTGGAAGCACCGTAAGAGTGCACCTATATACTCATCAGATCTTATCTACAAATTCACAGTAAGGCATGAAATTAGTCTTGTATTTATGTATTTTCTTGATTTAACTCTTGCCCATATTTTTAATTCCTGAAATTGAAATCCAGGTCAGATTCCATGATATGTGGAAGAAATTTTTAAAAAAGTTGGATGCACTGTATATGTGAGAAAAGGGAATACTTTGAAAGGAGAGGAATCTTATTATCTTGTACATTAATGAATATTCCCCCCCCCCAAAAAAAAGGCCTGATTGTTAAAATTTTGCTTTTGGACACGTATAAAAGCAAAATTTTAACATTTTATCAGTTATTTCTAATCCGTGTGCACTACCTCTTCCACCTTTAATGCAGTTAAGAGCTTTGATATTCATCTTCTCCCATAGGGTTTCTCTACACATATCTGGAGAAGAAACTGCAGTAGAAATTCTGAGATCCAGATTCGAACTTCGATGATTACAGATTTCAGAATTTTTCAGATTTTAGATCATCGGTTTAAATCTAGTAATATGACATGTAGAAATTATAAAATTAAAACTATCAAATAGTTATTTATGAAATAATGAAACACTTAGGACCTTAAGAAAATCAAAATTAAAAAAAATAATAAATTATTTAGCTTCATTAAACATATCTTTCAGAGTAAGTTGTTTAAGTTACTTCATTTTTTGTATTGCCATGTTAAGCACTGCTGTTAAATTATCAATCCAAATTTTGTCATCCTTTGTCTTTTTCTTTACTACTAGTAACGATTTTTTCTAGATTTAGAGCAATACAACAGATTTCATCGTTCATTAGTCAACTCGCATATGCCAAGCAAAACAGCATCTATGGAGCCAAATTATTGATCCTACAGTCATAAAGATGTATGCTAATTAATAATTCTGTCTCTTCAACATGAAAGTATTGATCATACAGATTTATGATAGTAAATAAGTCTGTTTCAACAGAGATATTGATTATACAGTCACAGATTTATGCTAATAAATGATCCTGTTTCTTCAGTACAGAAGTATTGATCATACAGTCACAGATTTATGTTAAAAAATGATTATGTTTCTTCAACATGGAAGCATGTTATTTAGTTAGTTTAAAATGAAATCAAGTATCAAAACCCACCAAATCCTTAGTTAAGAAAAAATGTCTATTGTGCGTCCATGAAGTACTAAGCATACTGTGTTAAAGCAAGATGTTACCCTCAGAATTTAATTCTTTCTCCTTTATGCAAAAAAATTTCTTAAGAAAAAAAAAATGGCTGGTTTTCTAGAGGTCCAATTATTGGATGTCCGCACTTTGTACTGTATATGATTTATCCTGGATGATAGATGAGTTGACTGATAATATAAAAGTTTGTTTTAGGAAATCTATCACATGATATATTTAAAATAATAATAATAAACTACAATCACATTACAAAACTTTTTGTAAACTAATTACAAAAATCTGTTTGTAAAATAAAGAAACGGAAAATATTTGCCTGGCCATCCGATTTTCCTAAAGCTGAATTCAATATGAAATCAGGAGGAGAAATAGCATCTGCAAGAGCAACAGCTTGATCTTTTAAATCTTCACACAGTTTCAATATCCCTTCTTTGATCAGTTTACTTGCTGCAGGGCTTGAACAAAACTGTCCTATAAATTAAAACAATTTTATGTTTATAGATATTCGCAGTCAGTGTATACATATATATGTAAACAACAGAACAAGTTTGAAATACTAGTATTCAAGATTACCTTTACATGTACAAAAATGCCGAATTTTCAAAATCTGATGAATAAAATTGAATGACTTTATTTGAGATGATACATAACACCGTAACACATAAATAAAAACCGAAACCTCAAATATTAACACAAAACTATATTATGAAAAATAAAATATGACAACAAAATTTTAGCTAAAACAATATCTTGGATTTTATATATATATATTGCTGAGGAAAATAATCCCCTCTTTTCCAAACAGGTACATTCAATTGCGATTTCATGTCCTTAAAGTTGAGAAAGTAGTAGCTCTGCTTTACCAATATGCTTTTCAAAGCATTTTAAACATTGAGATCTCTAAGAGAATTTCACTTAAGCACTTAACAAAATATATCTTATTGGGTTCTATATACTCGCTTGCAGTTTACTTGTGGTACCTGGATATATAACGGAAGATGAATATGACAAACTTTTCATGTTATCTGATAATGAAAATGTTTAAGTTCATACGGTATGCCTTCCTTTTAACTAACAGCATTTAGATATATGTAGAGATCTAATTTTTGCATACTTATCTTTCCTTTATTTTTAAATCTACCATTTTTATATCTGGTGTATAATGTGCACCTGTAAATTTGGGTCTTATTTTTTGTATTAAAAGTGTGCGTTATACACCAGAATATACGGTACGTCCTGTTAACTGTTTTAGGAAAGTTAAGTGTTTGGATATTGTGCATGATAAAGTACCAGCTAGCAAGTGATAATGATATGATGTAAAGTAAAAGCTAGCATTGTGAATTTAAATAGTTAAAAGTTATAAATTTGACAGTTCCTATTTAATTGCATTACCATGACGTGTGGCTGATATTGGTGCACAAGACATTGCTTTTGTGTTCTAAATTCTGTTCAAATAAAAAAGTTATTTAAACCTTCTCAAAACTTTGTAGTTCACACACTGTGATAATTTGCTTTGCATCTGTTAGGATTATTGGATTAATTAATATTAACAGGTCAAGTTAAACACTAAAATGGCCTATTTTAATTTCCTACTGAACACCCTTATATATTCAGATAAATTTCACTTCCATGTTTAGAATACATATTTAAAAGAAAGTATTACATAGCATGCTTGAAAACTATTGGTTTGTTTCCTGATTGTTATTTTCAGATATAAGCTTCCAGCTACAAAGTTTCTGAAAATAAAGTGCTGAATTTTATGAATTAAAATCTCAACATGGTAGCAAAAAAAGAAAAGGGAGGTAGTTTAATGTTTTACACAGTCAAAATACACATTACATTTAAATTACCTTAAAACTAAATGTTCCATCCATAAAGTTTCCCATAAAATTTGCACAGCTTTTTTACAAAAAAATACTGATTGCAATTTTTCAGTACCTTTACATTACAACTACACTATTCATTTTTGGCACCATATTAGCACATTTTGGCTTACTCTTTTCCAGCACTTTTGACTAGATAATACACATTCTTTTTCTACAAACTTCTTTTCTCCGGTTTTTCCCCTTTTTTTACTAAATTTTGTTGGTAATTTTTATTTCTTGATTTCATCATTGAAACACTTTATATATATATATATATATATATATAATAAATAAAATAAAAAAAGAGAGAGAGAGAGAAACATGAAATAAAAAGAAAGGTTGTTTGGCGCTTCTTAAATGACTAAATAAAATACACAAAACTAAAATATAAAAATAGCAATAATTAATATATATTGCATTGAGAAAGAATCATATAGGAATAAATAGCATGTGTAAAATTAAAAATGAAAAATATGGTTCAAAGTAAAAGAAAAAGAAGAAGCTGTCAAGCTTTATGGCTATAATGGAAAAGTACCAAATTTTTATGCTTTTAAATCCAAGCGTTTGGGAAACATACACTGCTCAACATTGAAAATGCAACACCAAGAAGGAGTGGTCAGAAAGTGATGGTAGGACCGCAGCAGACAGCGAAAAAACACATCTAGGCAGAGTTAAGAAGAGTGTGGATGGTGTCCTGAGGGATGGCTCTCCATTTCCTTTCAACCATTTGCCACAGTTCGTCTTTTGAATAAGGCAGGGGCAGAGCCTGGAAAGGGAGTCAAATCACATCCCACACATGTTCGATTGGTGACAGGTCAGTAGAGTATGGTGGCCAGGGAAGCACCTGTATACCTTGCAGAGCATGTTGGCAGATGTGTGGTCGGGCGTTATCCTGCTGAAATATTGCACTAGGCAGCCCCTGAAGGTAGGGGATTGCCACTGGCCGCAGTACATTATCCAAGTATCGTTGGGCCATCATAGTGCCCTGAATATGAACTAGAGGTGACCTAGAATCGTAGGCAATAGCGCCCCAAACCATTATGCCCCACTGTCGCACGGTAGGGCATTCCACAGTTACTGCTGGATTAGATCTGTCTCCACGTCGACGCCACACACGTATGCGGCAACTGTCACTGGATAAACAGAAGCATGACTCATCTGAGAACACGTCATTTTGCCATTCTGTTATCCACATTGCTCCAATCCGGCACCATTCTAAACTTTGGCGTCTATGCTGTTTGGTCAATAGCAGTCTTCTTAACCGTGAGTGCAGGCTACGTTCAACCAAATGGTTTTGATCGACAATGGAACATCCAGGGTATCTTGCATATGCTGCAGATTCACAGTACAAGTGACTTGCGGGACTGCCACAGCTTGTCGCGGATGCGTTGATCCACGCGTGCTGACGTCACTTTGGCTGCACCTGCACCCCTCCTTCTTCCTACATTTCCTTGTTCCAACGATGTTCGCCATAGCCAATGCACTGTGCTTGCATCCATGTGGGTATCACCTGCGATTTGACGTAAGAACCAACCCACCCTTCTCAGTTCGATCACCATGCCCCTCATAAAATCGTCTATTTGCTAGAAGTGCTTTCGTTGACAGTGGCCTGGCATTCTCTCCTATTACACGTACCCTCCGGGACAAAAACCAACTTTCTTCGATAATTCGTTTGGCAGAAATAATGACACGAATATTGCACGTTCCTTCCCTTATATCTTACTTCACGTGCATCGGAGAGCTGAGCATTTCACATCATTCGCATAACTCAGTGACGTGCATCTAGTCTAAAATTTGCATAAATTTCTGACCATGCCTTGGTGTTGCAATTTCAATGTCGAGCAGTGTATTTCAAAAAGAATGTTTATTTTGAGTATTAACAGTTTTATCTTAAACAGTAAGCTATTTCTTTATTTGTGATAAATTTCATTAATTGCTATTTCATTATATTTTGAATATTAAAAGAGTGAATTTTTTTCTTTTTCACTGTTTTAGGCATAAACATTTCACTTCATGGAATTTTTACTCTTCGGGAACTACTAAAAAGTCCTCCCCCCCCCCAATTCTTCAAACCTACAATGTTGAGAATATATTTATTAAAATTTTTTACATTCAGAAATTTTGCAATTGGAAATAAATTTAACATGTTGAAGCCAAAGCTGTGTTTAGATGTTAATGGAAATTCAATTAATGTTTTCTTATATCTTTTTTGCTCAATGTAATACAAAAAATTAAATACTTTTTGTTTATTATTATTATTTTTAAATTTTTAAAATACTACCCTCTGATTAGCAACTGCATCAATCACAGAATATTATTGCCAATTTTAGATGCTCCAAATGGAGTGATTGGCACTGCCTCAAAGTATTCTGATCAGAATGATCAGCAGTGAATTAGTTAAATAAATAAAATCCATAGTCACCTTTATTTCTCCCTTTCCTCATGTATGTAGGTGTGTGAACACCTTATACAGTACAAAGTCGTTAATCTGGACTCATCAGGTCTTCGATTCCAGAATAGGGGTTTTTCCGGATTATAGATTATCAATTTAAATCTGGTAAGATGGCATGCAGAAATTATACAATTAAAAATATGAAACCGTAATTTATGAAATAAAGAGCAATTATGATCTAAAGGGTATCAAATTTTACAAAAAAAGCTTAATATGTATTTATTTACTTTATTAAACATTTCTTAAAACACACACATGCATAAAGCATATATTACGAGCATGCGTAAAGTTTGTGGCTGTGAGGTTCGGATTACAGATCATTCCGGATAATGGACGTCCGGATTACGGACTTTGTACTGTACATTTAATAAATACTGTACCTTTTACATACACGAAGTTTGAAAGAAAATATAATATGCTTTTAAAGTTTCATAAAAATATATATATATTAATTATAAAACAATTACCTTCATAGAGAACAGATAAATGTTTATCCAAACTCCATAAACCATACAGAAAAAATAATTTTCTAAGAACGTCTACAATAGCTGCATTTGATATTTCTGATAAAAAGTCATTAAATCTTTCCAGGAATGTATGCTAAAAATAAAAAAATTAATGTAATAACATAATAAACATAGAAACAAATAAAGTATGCTAAAATAAAAACAAGAATTTAATTCAAATCAAATATAAGCAGCAATAATGCACCATTTTGTAATAGATTTCTTCAAAGATCTAGATATGCTTAAAAACTTTTCTCATGTAAACAAATAGTAATTACTTCTTCTTCAAATATCACTGTCTTAACTTATGAAAGGTATACAAAAATACTCTACTTTAGTAAAGCAGGGGAAACCCGCTATTACACTGGTCATTAAAGTATAATGAGAAAAAATATGCTCACTAAGTTAATGTTGCCACCAATGCCCAATGCCATAATTATTTATGTTAATTAAATACAACGGAATACAAAACTGCACTCCTGTGCATATGTTGGCACCAGAAATATGCAAATTTGGTGACTGACACTGTGGTGTGCAATGGATGCATGTTGAATCTGTATTACTGTTTAAAGTGAATGTGGTTTCTGAGAATGATCAGTATTCAGTAGTTATGGCTCAAAGGCATTATTTAAGTGGAGAATAATTAGCAAAATCGAGAGAGGACGAACATAAATGGAATATTTCATTCGAATATCTCTTGCTTTTTAAGCACTGGATCAGTTGATAGACAGCCTGATCAAAGGCAATTAAGAGCAACAACTGCATCAGATGATCATTTTCTGTCACTGTTGGCTGAAAGAAATCACAAAGTGTCTACAAAAGATTTGGTTTTAGACCTTCAAGATGCCACAGGATCTCCAATTAGACATTCTATTGCTATGTGAAGGCTTAAAGAGGTTGGACAGTATGCAAAAAAAAAAAAAAAAAAGGTTTGTGTCTCACTTACTCCAGCTTCCAGAGTGGCCCATTTAAACTGGTGCAGTCATCATATTCAATGCAGACAAGACAGTTAGGCCTCAGTATTGTTTACTGACGAGTCCAGATATAGTCTGAACAGTGATTTCAGACATGTTTTGATCTGGATAGAGGAAGGAACATGTAACTTGCCTTCCTTTGTCCATGAAACATCCTGATTCCACAACCAGGATTTAATGGTTTCTGGAGGAATCATGACAAATGACCACATTGAGCTGCATTTCTTCCAATAATCTGTAACTGTAACTGCTCAAAGATATGTGAATGAAGTATTGAAATCCCACATTAGACTGTTTAGAGTTGTTGTTTGCCCAGAGTGTTTGCTAATGGTTGACAACACTCAGTCTCATCAAGCATCACTCGAATGGACTGGTCACCTTACTCACCCAACTGAACATGTGTGGATGCCTTTGGGTGTGAAATGTCAGAGCGAAAAATTCCTCCCCAGACCCACCAAAAGCTCAAAAGTGCACTTTTAGTAAAGCGGCATGCAAATCCACAAGACTTGATCAATACTTTGGTAAAGACTATGAGGTATGCACATCTGTCTGAGGTTGACCAAATACCGTATTAAAGAAACTTTTTCCACAAGAGGTGACTTAATTTTTCCATCATTTTCCAATTTCCATAAAATTAGTTTTAATTTCAATATTTTGTGAATAAAGTATCAGTTACATTTAATTTCTCATTGTCCTTTAATATGATGACCAGTGTACACTTAATAAATTTCAAAAATTACATCAACATAATGAAATTTAATCTAATATTATTGGGAAAATTTAATTACATATGAATAAAACTACATACATAATGGTGCTTTTCCAATTACATTCATGTAGTTATCATCAGTTCTATATAAATGTCAACTACGAGGGCTATCCAGAAAGTAGATTACGTTTTGGAATAAAAAAATAAACAAAGTATAGGAAACAAATTTTATTATATACAGATGAAAGCCACACTCAAATACTACTTTTCTACATAGTCACCATACAAATTAAGGCATTTATCGTAGCGATGTACGAGCTTGGAAATTCCTCGTCGAAAAATTCGGCCGCCTGCGCCTTCAACCACTTCGTTACCTCTTCTTGCAGCTGTGTGTCGTCATCAAAACGCTGCATAGCCAGCCACTTCTTCATTGCTGGGAATAGGTGGAAGTTGCTCGGTGCCAGGTCGGGACTGTACGGCGGATGAGGAAACAACTCCCACTTAAAAGATTCAAGAACTTTACGAGTGACATTTGCCGTGTGGGGCCGGGCGTTGTCGTGAATCAACAAGATCTTAGAGCTCAACATTCCTCTGCGCTTGTTTTGAATTGCTCTTCTGAGTTTTTGGAGAGTTTGGCAATACCTTTGAGAGTTTATTGTAGTGCCTCTTTCCAGGAAGTCCACCAAAATTACACCTTTTCTGTCCCAAAAAAACAGTCGCCATCATCTTCCTTCCTTGCCGACATTGTTTGCATGCATTTCTTGGGTTTTTGGGGAGAACTTGTGTGCCCCCACTGCATTGATTGCAATTTCGTTTCACAGTTCACATGTTTTCACCCATGTTTCGTCACCAGTAACGATGCGATCGAGTAAAGAGTCACCATCCTTATGGTAAGCGTCCAAAAAGTTCAACGCTGCAGCCATTCGCTGATTTTGTGGTCCTCTGTCAATTTTTTGGAATCCATCTTGCACAAAACTTGTGGTAACCAAGCTTTTCGCTGATGATTTCGTGCACAAAACTTCGCGAAATTTGTGGAAAACTCAAAGAAAGTTCCGTTATTTGAAATTTCGATTTTCACGGACTTTAGCATCGACTTTTTCGAGAAGTTCGGCGGTCACTATGCTGGGTCTCCCACTTCGATCTTCGTCGTGAACATTGGTTTGGCCATTTTGAAATCTTATGACCCACTGACGCACTCCACCTTCAGTGATAATGTTGTCCCCATACACTTCACGAAGCTGCCGATAGATTTCTATCGGTTTACAGTTTTTTGCAGTCAGAAACCTTTATTACTGAGCGCACCTCGCAGCTCGCGGGATTTTCAATTAACGCAGACATTTCAAACCGTCACAGTATCTGAACGGAGCACAGCACGAACCTCTCACTAGCACGGCTAGATGCAGACTGAGCTGCGCAACGCTCTGACCCCAAGATGGCCGCGCTAGCCCCGCCCCTAGCGGACACAGACGGAAACGTAATCTACTTCCTGGATGGCCCTCGTATAAACAAATCTGCTTATGATGAGACATACACTAATACTGTGGTTCACAAACCATGTACTGCAATGCCCTGGAGTGCCACAGCCTTTTTACAGGGGTACCACAAAATATTATAAAAGCTTTATGATTAATTGAACCAAGCTATTTCACCTTTAAAAAAAAAAAAAAAAAAAAAAACATTGAATTGAGAAGAAACAAATTGAGTAGCCAAAAATATGTAGGTTTTCTTTTTTTTGCATGGTTTGTTTTTAGTTGACCCTGTATAAAAGTAAAGTCACCAATGCAGAATGTTCTTGTGAATGCGAGTAGTAATGCTGCGCCTTCTTGATCACATTATAGCTCACAACAATCTAACCTGAAAACACATACAAGGCTAGAACAAACTTTTTTATGGCTTTTGACAGCTCATTCCATAAAAATAAACCATGAATGTTCCTTCATATTTTTTCAAAAGTTAGTTCATTATGTCTTTGATTAGAGTGTGCATATACCAACTTTCAGAGGTAATTTTCTTCCTGAAGTCAAAAAGCTACCATTTTCTTTCAGGTTGGATTTCATGCGATTTATGCTTGTCACAAAAATGTCAATCAAATCATCAGCAAAAGCAACAATATCATTGACGGATTTATTAGGGAAATGCTTCCATAATTTGACAAAAACAATCACAGCAATAATTTTAGAGGAAATTAGTAGTTTTCCAGCCTTATGAAATTTTGAAATTATACACATATGTCAAAGATGAAGCAGATGCCATAAAATAACTTCTTCTCCTCATGGTCAGTGAATGAATGAATGAATGCTTTAATTGCTTCTCTCATCAAAGGTCAGGATTGTTGGAATTTGAATAATGCCAAAAAAGGGAATTTCTTCCTATTCATCTTTGAATGAAAGACATATTAGCAAATTTTTAAATAGAAAGCTAAATGCAATGTATTCTACCTTTTCATAGATTTTTTTTCATTCTAGTCTCTTTGCTTAATAATATTTATATTTCATATCATAATATTTACAGTATTACATATCGAAATGGTATAACTATATTCTGTGGCAGATGCATACATTTTCAACTCTATATCCAGTGTTCTCAACTTAGGTTGATTGGCAGTATACACATGTCAAAGTGCACAGACCTTTGCGACAGGTTTGGACTGCTTTGGAAGATCTTGCGGAAGGCATATAAGCAAGCAGTGCTGGTTCAATTCAGTCAATTGGTTTATAATCTAAGTCTAATGAAATTAAACTCAGCGCTTCATATAAACAAACAGATATAAATTACTTTAGGTTATATAGTTAGTGTAAGATTACTTTTTGTTTGCTGGCTTTGATAAATAGTTTTGTGACTTTTTGCTCTTGTACCTTTGATGAGGGATCCGTGTTTTTAATCAGTGGCACAATTGTGAAGAAACAAAAGTATGTTAAATTTAATGATGGTATTTAGAGTTTGGTTTCATGCCAGCAGAAATTAATGGTGAAGATGCGTATCGTGTACCACAATGCATATCGTGTATGAAAGTTTTGGCAGCACAGTGTATGCTTCCAAGTTGCCATTTAGGAGCTAATCACCATAGCATGGTTGGCAAACTTCCTGATTTTTTTGCCAGAAAGTTAAAAGAACTGAAACAGCAACAACAGCCAAAAAAAAGTTGTTTTTAAGAACATCAATATCAAACAACATTTTGCTAGCATCTTACAAGATGGCGGATTACAGAATCGCGAAATGTAAAAAGTCTCATACTTTTGCAGAACTTATTCTACCAGCTGTTGTAGATATGGTGAACATCATGATTGGCGAGTCTGCTGAGAAGCTGCTTTTAAAACTGCATTTTTCCGATAACGTGATTAAATGCAGAATACCATATATAGCAGAGGATATATCAATGATCAATTAAATGAAAAACTTAAAGGAGTGGAATTTGGATTGCAGCTAGATTAGGCTACAGATAATATTAAAAATGCTAATTTTATGGCAATAATACTAAAGTAGACCTTTCATTTTTTAAAAATATTGTTACGAATTTTGTATGTGTGTAGTTTTGGTGAAATTATATGTTAAAAAAAAAAATTTTTTTTTTTTTTTGGGTATAATGTAACCTGAAACTCTAAAAAGGCGATACTTTGCTGGAAAAGTAAGAATATGGGAAGGGGCAAGTGTGTTTGATTTTGAGTCTATTTGGATTGGCGAGATATTGGCAAACTGGTGACAGTTTTGGTGCTTAATTTTTGTTGCCAAATTTGGAGAGACATTGCCAAAACTCTCCGAATTTGGTGACCATTTGGCGACATTTTGCTGCAGCCCTTGTATAACAGTAATGAATATTGTAACTAAGCTACGTACGCAATGTAACCATATCTGGCCCTCATAAGCCTTCCAGTAATTTTGAGAAGTACTAGAGGTTTCTTGGCGGCCACATGAGAACTATATAAGACTGGAGAGAGCATCTGCTGTCAGCTCTTAGTTCAGAGCTGATGTCGGAGTATAGGGATATCCATGCGAGCTTTGTTCTTTAGAAGCACTTTGCATTGTGTTGTGTTTAACATTCTTAGCAGTATGAAGTGCAATTACTAATTGCATTCTGTGATACTACGTGAGTATTTTTGTGGAAATTTCCAGAACTGTGAAGTGTTCCTTTTGGTAAAACTGAATTTTATTAAGCTATCATCAGTTCTGTGTGCATTCAATTTATTATGAACCCATATGCATGAAACAATACTACTGCATAAGCAAAGCTCAGGGCCTGCTAGAGATTCTTGATACATTCGTATCTGAAAGTAATCTGAATTGACCTAAAAGTGTTCACTTATTCAAAGCAACACTCTGGAACCATTGCATTATTCATAGAGAAGTACTTGCGTTAAAGCACCTGAGTCCTGCATTGAATGAGGTGTTAGAGTATGTGGTAAATTTTAAAAAATCTGATCCATTGAAAGAAAGTTTTTTTTTTTTTTTTTTTTTTTTTTTTTTTTTACTGTGTGAGGATATAGGAATCAAACACTTGTTTTTGTCACACTATAAAGAAGTGCACAATGGCTTTCTCTTGGTAATGCTTGTTTCATCATGTACCTTTGAATTGCAGCAAGAAATATTTATTTTCCTTAGGAAGGATACGAAGATGCAGAAGATTTTGCATAAAACTGACATAGTAATGCAACATTTTTGAAAAGCTGAATTCCCTTAATCTCTCTCTGCAGGGATAAAACATGCACTTTTTGAAGTCAATAGAAAAAATATCAGCTTTTATAAAAACAACTCAAACTATGGAGAAGAAAATTAAATAAAGATGCAGACAAATATTGTTTTTTAATATTGCTTCAATTTTCTCAAGCTATAAAAACCAAGTTTAAAGGGCACTTATCACAGCTAATTATCTGGTTTGAGAAATACTTTCAAAATGAAAATTTTGATAGTTCTGCATGGATTCAAAACCCATTTGACATCAGTGCTCCATCTGAATTTAGTACTTGAGGAAAGTTGAGTTATCTTGTAACAACAGTTTGAAAGCAAAATTTGGCAGCATGGAATTTTTTATTTCAATAAAAGATGAAGCTCCACAAATTTTAATTCCAGTCTCAACACTGTATTTTTGTGAAGCTGGGTTTTTCAGTGGTTGCTGTAATAAAAAGCAAGCACAGAACAAAAATTAATGCAGAAAAGGAAATGATGGTGGATACACGAATTTTATTTATTTTTATCTCTTACTTATAATTAGTCCTACTTTTACTTAGGGTAAGGTGGCATGGAAAAATTTTAATTGAAAAAAAAGGTGCCACAACTCTTTTGGCAACCACTGCACTAATAATAGGGAGACTGGAAAGTAATGTTGCTTTCTTACATTAAATAAACACGAATAAATTTTTAACATGTTTTTATTTTTAATCAATAATGTAATCACCCATGTTATCAACAACCTTTTGCCATCTAGTGTGCAGATTTTCAGTCCCCGGACCAATGTAAATCAATTGCTTTTTGAGTAAAATATCTCAAGATGGCATTTTGGACATCATTCAAATTTTCAAATTTTTTGGCACTAAGAAAATGTTGTAGGAATCAGAATAAATGGGAAATCCTCGAGTGTACGATATTAGGCGAGTATAGTGGGTGATGCAGCACCTCCCATCCCAATTCATTTATTTTTTCCAGTGTCCATCTTGCACAGTGCGGTCTTGCATTGGCATGTTGCAGAATGATGCCTTTTCTATTGACAATCGCCGGATATTTTTCGATTAAAGATTGGTTCACTCGATCCAATTGTTCACAATAAAGATCTACATTAACAGTTTGTCCAGGTTTCAGCAATTCAAAATGAAGAATTCCGCAAATACTCCACCAAACACACAGAAGTGCCTTTTTGGGATGTAAACCCTTTGTAACCCCTATTAAAACTGCCTTTTGCGTTTTAGATTATCATATAGGATCCATTTTTTATCTCCAGTAATCAAATGATCAAAAAAACGATTCTGTATGGTGCCGTTGAAGCAATACGTTGCATGTGATGGATTGGTTGACTTTGTTCTCTTCAGACAGTTTAAGGGGTACTCAAACACCTGGTTTGCTTATTTTTCCATTCTGCTTTAAATGTTCCTGGATGGTTGACCAAGGTTGGTTAAGAGTGTTTGACATGGATTTGCTTCCACTTCTGCCCTTAGCATGTTGTTGTTGACATGCGCAGAAACGACATTACTTTCTGGTCCCCCTATTATTTTCCGAATTTTGGTATCTGTAAGGACAGATAGCTTTTTCATAAATTATATTAATTAACTGGATAGAAAAAGAAATGTACAGTAAAATAACTTTTGGCACTTCAGTTAATTTTAAATTAGTAATTTTTATCTTAAGATATTAGATATAATAAGTATAAATTTTACGAAAATTTGCTCTAATACAATAAAATTTAAGGCACTAGTGATTGTAGTTATTTTTGACAGTCTATTCTGGTGGAAAATTAATAATAATAAGCAAGTATGACTTTTTAATCTGCTGTAGAAAAGTTAAATTTTTAAAATGGCAAAAGAAAAAGTAAAAAACTAGACTATACATGATCATGATCTATTAATATTAAGATTAATGCTTAACTGCAATAGTAAATTTATTTAAACTTGTGCATTTATTATTTTGTATTTGCATTTTTTATAATATAATTAATTACTAATGATAAAATATTTTGCATTTTATAATAAGTAGAGCACACTGAGGCATTTTCTAATCAAATTTTTATGTACGACTATCATCTTATCTTTAAACTTAAAAGCACAGTATATACATGAATCTGCATCATACATAAAAGAAACTGTATTTTTTATTCTTTTTACAACTATAATATGACATTTCTTTTTTTATTATTATTTGCTTATCAAATGTAAGCATTTGTTACACTTACCTCAATGTACACCAATGAAAGAGATCGACAAAAGAAGACTTGAGTATTACACCTTGAAGTAAATGAATCTTTACCAGAGTTCAATTCTCTATTGAGTTTTTCACCAGTTTTGATCAATAAGTAACAAACCAACCATTTATAAGAATCCAGAAGAACTTGAAAAGCAAAATTATTGTTGAGTTGTTACTGAATTGATATTATTATATGAAGTTATGAGTTAAAAGAATACATGATTTTGTGCACTACTCTCAATTAAAATACCAATTATATGAAATTATTAATTAAAAGAATACATGTGTGCTACTTTCAGTTAAAATAATTAAACTTTCACATTTTTAATATTAATTTCCTTTGATTAAATATTTCTATGATTAGTTTCTTAGTCAGGCAAAATTTTCAGATCACCTGTTCTCAACTAAGCAAAATTCATAGAATAGCTATTCTTATGGCAGTAATAACTTCTTATTTTAAGTATCTTGTATTTAATATATATATATATACACTGACTACCAATAAGTATTTGGACACCTGCGATAGAAAAGAAAAACTAACTTTATGAAAATTAATAGTTGGTAGAGCCTCCACAAGAGGTAATTACAGTGCGGACTCTTCGGGGCATACTTTCCACAAGTCTTTGTATGACAGCTAGTGGTATTTTTCTTCCACTCGGCTTGGAGAAGACATAGAAGTTCCCTTCACCGATTTTGCACGGTAGTGCACCCCTGAATTCGGTGATGCAACCGCTCCCGGCCAAAGGTTCTCGATAGGCTCAGGTCTGGACTCTGGGCAGGCCAGTCCATTCGATGAACTCCATTGGCACCATACCAAGCCTTGGTTAACGTCGAAACATGAAAACTGGCATCGTTGTCCTGAAAGTAACAGGGGTCCAACCCGTAAAACTGCCACAACGTAGGAAGCACATTGTCATCCAAAATAGTGCAGTAGGCATCGGAGTTGAGCTTACCATGAATGGGGACCAAGGGGTCCCAGCCCATACCAGGAGAAACACCCCCAGACCATAATTCCACCTCCGCTGAACTTGACTGTTGGCACAATGCATTCTGGCAGGAGACGTTCTCCAGGTAGACGCCAGACCCAGACCCTGCCATCCGAACGGTAAAGGGTGAACCTTGATCCGCACTCCAAAGAACCCGTCTCCACTGATCTACGGTCCAATTTTGATGTGCTTTGCACCACATTAACCGAGCAGCGTGGTTGGACTTTGTGATCAAAGGCTTATGGGCAGCAGCACGACCATGGAAACCAAGCAGATGTGCTTCCTTACGGATGGTATTCATTGAAACGATACTCCCAGATGCCTGTTGAAACTCCTCGCGGATGAGGGCCATCGGTTGGGTGCAGCAGTTCTGAATTTCTCTGGACAGCACTCGTCGGTCTCTATGTCCCAGTTTCATTGGTCTGCCCACTCAGCGCAAATTCTGACAATCACCGCTCACCTTCCACTTCTTAATCACATAGGCCACTGTCGATTTTGGGTACTTCAGATCGCTAGATATGTCCCTTAAGGATCGGCCACATTTGTGATACCCGATAATTATACCTTTCTCGAAATCAGAGAGCTCCAAACTGCAAGGCATCTCGCATGTGACTATAGCTGATGCTGTTTCCTACATGATACATACCGGCAGAGTCCGTGATTTACCTTAGGACCGAAGATATTGCCATTTGCATAGGTGTCCAAATACTTATTGGTAGTCAGTGTATATATATAATTTGAAAGACAAATTTGCATATAGACCTTTAAATTCTTAATTTTGATTAAGTACACTCCCTCTTCATGGATCTGTATTGCACCGCTTTTTACATCATCTTATATTTGCGATGCAAAAGTTCTTGCACAGTCGCTGCTCTGGATTGAAATAAAGGATCCAAACCTTTAAATACTGCCAGCTACTTAATATGCATCGCTTTCTCGTCTTTGCCAGCTAAACTTGCTTGCTAAATGATGTCTCTTCACTTAGCTGCACTCTGCCACTGTTCTAAAATGCAATGGTATACATAAAATTGTGGGGCATTTAGCACCCCTAGTGTTATACCAATTAAGAAGAAAATGTGTCTCTAAGAATTGTCCCTGTTCAAAACTAAAAATGATGTTGTAATTATCAAGCTAGTTGTGATTTTCTCTCCAGTCATTTTCTATACAGCAGTTTTAAGCTATTTCCTATAACGCGAGAGCTATAGCCTTCCTCTCTCTGGCCAATATTGGAAAATAATTGGTGTCTTCTCCACTAAATTCTCACGTAGTACCAATAAATCATCAACTTTTTTAGTTGACAGCACAGTTTTCCAAACTCCTACGGAAAATTTATTGCAACCAGCTCTCCTAATCTTAACCTCTAAAATACCACACACACATATATAGGAAAACAAATTAAGAAAAAAATCTTAAAAATATAAATACTATTTTATGATTTGGCCATTTCATCTCAACTTCTTCATTTTTGCTTTACTCATAAAAAAAAAAATTCTTAGCTATTCTCAACTTATTCTATTGCATTTTTGTAAAACTTTGAAAAAATTTCCAACGTATTACAAAAATGCACAAAAAAATTTGAGAACCAGTAAAAAAAAAAAAAAAAACTTTAGCAAAAGTGCAGTCTAGGCTAAATGGCCAAAATATTAGAACAGTCAGACTGAACATTTTTTGCTTTCATCAGGGAAATGGACAAAAATAACACAATTTTCCATTCCAATATATATATAATTACAAATTTAAAAAATAATAATAAAGCCGAACTAACCGCACAAACACGTGAAAGAAATGGAATTTAAAACCAATGCTATCATTAAGCCCCCAATAAAAAAATGTTTAAAAAAAAAAAAAAAAAACTTCAGCTACTCTCTCTCTCTCTTTTCTTAATAGAAGAAATTTTGAAAGCAATAGAAATACATAAAAATTCATAAAAAAAGGAAGGAAAGGAGCAATTAAAATCTAATTCAGCATTATCATGAGTAGGGAGATCAGATCTCAATTAATTCTCTTAGGAAAACCACTATGTTTCTGTTCATTAAAAATTAGCTGATGAATTATTTTAAACCATTTAATTATTACATTTATCTTAAAATTCTAAATGCCTCGTCTACACAGCCACCTTCCTTTTATATGAAATAATATTACAAAAATACAAATTTAAATAAATTCAGGCTTCCTTTTAAAGGTATACATACAATTTACTAATATTAAAATTTAAATAAAAATATAATAATTTACAAAATCTAAAGAAAGAACTCAAATCATATTTACTAAAAAGAATTATAAACTCAGAACAAATATTTTATCACAGAAGGAAAAGTGGTATCTTATCTTCATCGGAAGAAAAAAGATTTAAATTCAAAATTTGTGAAAAGAGACACTTAAGAGTGCCTATTTAGTGCTACTGGTGATACAAAATGGCGATGGAAAATTATCTCCCAAAAGATAAATTCACAGTAAGTTTTTTTTTTAATCAGAATTGGAAAGCATTTAAGTATTGCAAGTAAAAAAAAAAAATAAAGGACAAATGTTAGAGAAGAATAAAATTTTCACACCATGGGCTTTTCATGATGGACATAGAAGGCTCTCAGTTAACAAAAGAAAAGTAAAAAATTTTACAGTAATTATGTATTTACCTAATTACACTACAACTGTTTTAATTCATCCTTCTTTATAATTTTCTTATTTGAGCTTTAAGATAAAAAATTCATTACCTTAAAAAATTTATAGGGTAGACCACTCCAACTTTTCTAAGTTGACTGTTAATGAAGTTAATTGGAATTTCCTTTTCTTGTAAAATTTTAGCAAGAAGTAGAATCTCTCGCTATTGTTGTTAAATTATCGTCCATACTTTTTTAATTTAGGCAATCTGATTGATAACTGTATTTTCAATAACTATTTAGACATACTAACATATATTTAGAGATGTTAGTGTTTCAATTAGTTTAATTGTTAAAAAATTATGTTCTCTTCTTTTATCAAAATGTTTTATTTCTTTTAAATTATAAATGCTTAGAGCCAGGTAATCTAATATTAATTGATTCATATTTGTCTTGTTTAGTTTAAAATGTTGGGAGTAGATGTTGCTTATTTCCATAAGACTTTTACTGTTGAATGTAATTACATTATCTCTCTATCTGATATATTAGCAAATTTACTTTAATCATCTTAAGTTTTTAAGAAATCTGTACTTATTAGAAAACGAACAGAGGTTACATAAGTGTGTCAGGTAAGAACTTACCATTATGGAACACCATTTGTTTGCAGGTAAAGAATATTTGCATGCTTGATAAGGTTATTAAAAAGTGACAAATAGATATAATCTTTCCATTTTTGTACATCTAGTATAGAAAGCATTTCAGGGGGAAAATTTGGAAGTTTTAGAAGACTTTCAATAGCTTTCTTTAAGTGGAAGAGATGTGTAAAGATTTCCAAAGTCATAGCAGTTGATATTGTAAACCTTAGATTTTTAATTTCTTCTTTATTTGCAAGTTGTTGTTTAATAATACAATAGTAGTGTTCTTCAGTAATGGCTTTATCAAAAACTTATATATTACATATTGATTTAAGCAGATTTGTAAATATATTGTCAAAATTCTTTTTGAAACACACTGAGTTGAAAGGGGTTACAGCAGGGATGTCAAACTCATAGGTACACTTGGGCCAAACAAACAAGGTTTAACTTTAGGCGGGCCGCCAAAAGAAAAAAAAAAATCAATATTCATAAAAACGTAGATTTATTTTGAATAATACAATAATAAACATATATGTATATTTATATAGAAAAGAACAAGAAAAATTTAATGTTTACGTCCTGATACTTGACATCTCTTCTCTGCTATTATCTTTCCTATTTTGGGAGAAAATTTTGTTTGCAGTGATAACTTTCAACGCTGACCCAAGGTGAGCATCATTAATATGGTTTCTAATAGGAGACTTACCTTTCATGACTGAAAATAACTGCTCGCACCGATAAGTGCTACCAAACATGGAAATAATTTCATATGCGAATTTTCGAGTATTTTCAAACATGGCTGTTAAATATTTGTAAAATTCAGGCACACCCACTTCAATGAATTTTGCTTTCAAATTTGAGTTGCATTGAATCTTGATCACCCCCATTTGCATATGGCTGGGTACTGAGTCAATACTTATTGAGAAAATCGAAGAAAACAAAAAAAAATTGTCTTCGAGGGAACTAAAATCATTAAACATCGTTTCAAATTCAGTTGTTAAATTTGCAATTTTTTCTGAGTATTTTTGATACGAACAAGTATCATCTAAACTTGATTTGTTCATGCTGCACGTCGGGAAGTGCGTCAAATCTTCATTTTTAAGTTGTTTTTCCAAAAGAACTAGTTGAAATTTGAATGCTTTAATTATGTCAAACATGTTCGTAATGATATGATCTTTTCCTTGTAACGATAAATTTAAATAAAAAAAATTAAAGCAAAGTTTCCAATCATAGTTTTGTACCAATATATCGTACAAAACTATGATTGGAAAACTGACACCATGAGTTCGGCCACATTCAGCTATCGGGGGATGCGTACAAGTTCTGAGTGCATGTGTCCCCCAAAAGCCGAAGGTAACTGAACGCAAGCTACTCACACGCATTTGTAATTTAAGTAGTGTGTGTGTCAGCTCGCTGTGAGTAATCTAACAACACTGAATAAATTATCGTTAATTACTTAGCAGTAAACATTTCATTTTTTTCTTCGTTGATATGTTATTTTATTATTATATATTATTATTTGCCAATATATTGGCCGGGCTGCAAAAATATTTGTTGTGGGTTGCGAGTTTGACATCCTTGGGTTACAGTTTATATTGAGGATTTAGGGATAGCACCAATTTTCTATCATTTCTTTTATATCTTTGTAGGGTTAGTTCTGAATTTTTATTACTTAAATAATTATAATATATAGTTTATAATTAATTTATTTCTCTAGCAGTATTTTGCACGAAAATGGTTCGGGAATTTTTTTGGTTGTAAATTTTTTTTATAATACTGTATACATATATTATGTATACATATTGAATGAATTTATATATATATAAATACAAAAAGAAACATAATAAGAGGCATACAAAACATTTTTAAAAAGCATAATATAGTCATGGCTAGTATTTTTGCACATTAAGCTGCTGAAAAATTGTCATTAAAGACATAAAGTAAGAAATTTGGAACCAATTTTTCACAAAAATACCAAAAATTGAAATTTATATGTAATAAATTTCAAATAATTCTATAAATGAAAAAAAAAAAAAAAAAGAAAGAAAGAATTTATTAAACGTTAAAACCAAAACACTTCAGACAAGCAATACCCCAATTCAAAATTTGAAAATTAAGAAAATTAATAGTAAAAAAGTTGTTGACAGAAGTGTACTTGCAACTAGTAATGGTATTAGCAGTACTCTGAATGATAACAATGTTGTTGCAAGTAGTGCTTTAGTAACGTTACCTAAATTGAATGTAGAAAAATTTGCTGGTGATCCCAGTAAATTGCTCAAATTTTTTAATTCTTGTGATAATACAATTCACTCCAATCTGGGTTTATCCAAAATAGACAGGTTTTTACATATTTGTAAAGCTTATTATCTGGTTCTGCGTATAATTGTGCAGCTGGTTATAGTTTATCTGAAGAAAATTATGATATGGTATTAAAAGTTTAGAAGAGAGGTATGATCGTAAACATGTTATTATATCAAAATTTACACAAATGCTCTTACAGTTAGAACCAGTTAAAAGTTCTTCAAATGTTTTTGAGTTTCTCTGATCAGTTACAAATCTGTGTTAGAAATTCAAGTAGTTTGGAGGTTACTAGTGGTTCATACAGCCTGAAAAATTGGTTCTAAATTTTTACTTTATGTCTTTAATTATGTACATACATACACACACATATATATATATGAATTCATTCAATTGTTAAGTCATAAAATATACCTACCTCTAATTTTAGACATGAAATTACAAATGAAGACAAGATATTATACAATTCAGATCTGCTACAAAATAAATTTACTAATAATACTCAATGCAATGAAAACAACTGTTCATATAATAATTCTTATAATGTGTAGTATAACTAATTATAAACCTTAATTAAAAGGTTAAAATGAGAATCAAATTAAAACATGTAACATAAACATGACAAATTATAATTTTTAATAACATCAACCTTTTATTACAATCTATCATACGATTAATAAAATTCAAAATTCACAAAAATAATAGATCTGCATCACAATTCAGCACAAAAGATAATAAAAATGCAAGATAAAATGTAAAATATCAAAGAAACACTTTACCTTCCGGTTTAATCAATTCACTTAAAGAACGAGCAGAAAATTTTTGTCTCAGAATTTGATCCATGTTATTCAAAAACAATATGCTCTCTTGCTCAAATACTGCATTTCTGTCTATTATTGAAAAAAAAAGGAGGAAGAAGAAAGCATTAAATTAAAAAATCAGATTACACAAAATAAAATGTCAACATACAGGTAACATTACACTACTATAAATACTATAAATTTACTGAACTATTATAAATTATGAAAATACTTTTTTAATTAGAGTGTTACCATTGCTCACTTTTAAATCACTGAGTTTGTTAATCAAAAATTTGTTAAAGTTTTACAAAATATGAAATCTATAATAAAACAAATTCCAAATTTCAAATTTGGGCTTTCAGATGTCCACATTTGCAGCAGGATTACGTTATTCAAAATTGGATAGCTCTAAGTACCATTGTTTTATCACAATGCAAGAAACATACATACATTTATGCAGATTTTTCATTATTTAATTTCTTAAAAATATAATACAGGGCAATAGTATTTGGTGACAATGATTTGAAAAGTGATACAGCCTTTTAAAATTTTCAATGCAAAATCGCAAAATGAAAACAATAGTCCTTCAGGGACAAAGCCCCTTTGGACTACAGGCATAATTTCTATTATTTCATGAGTAATTCTCCTAATCTATGAGCTAGTCAGAAGACAATTAGTTCTCTTCTCTTAGGGAAGTTTTAATACTAAAAATGTCTCAATGGATTTTTATCATAATTTCCAAAAAAAGTCCAATTCATTCTCTTGTGCTAAAATTGAAAACTTCTGTCACAAACAAAAGTAAAATTAAGACTGAAACAAGATGCAAAAAATAGTGGCAAGTATATTTTAAATAAAAGTTAAAAGTGTTTGTGTGTTTTCTATTACTTATTAAATTACTAATACTTATTAAATTACTAATTCTATTACCTGATATTATGATTAATTGTATTCTAAAAAACTACATCATTAATGACTCAATATATTTAGCAGAATATAAATACCTTCTTCTTTTCTTTTTAGTAAGCCTAAGAGGTAGTTGCTTGTTTGCTGCAAAAGGACATTGTTGTCCCCTTCATAAGTGCAATTTGCATCATTGTCATTACGGAGAGAACCAAAACCAGAAGCTGTAAAGATATAGATAATTTAGAATAGTTGCAAAGATTTCTTGCAGACAAGTTAAACATTTTTCTCAATTTTCAATAAAATGCTAACATTCACATTACTTTGGCATGAAATACCAGTAAGACAATACAGAGGATGGCTATACATTAAAAATAATTTTGATCAAGAAAAAAAAAAAATTTGGAACAAAATTTTTTGGAAACAGCTTATTATTTGAAATGAGAAATATTGTCTGCTACTTTTATTCTTTCAAAATATCACATGTAAACAAGCTGCTGATTGAAAGATATGTTTTTGTGCTTTCCAAAGAGAAATTCCCACTATTATTATGGTGTAGCCAGATGCTGGAACTACATATTGTGATTTTGTTAGCAACTTATTAGCCACATTTCCCAATGCCAAATTCCTCTAAAGAGAATTCTTCAAAGTTCTACCTACAACTGCTGATGAACATCATTTTTTTACCAAATATTTTTTGGAAAATAAAATTTTCTTTTCATGATCAATCCAAAATATCAAAAATCTATTACGGTTCTACTGAGAGGATTCTCCCGAACATTAACACAAAAATTATTTTGAATAGTAAAAATCTGATGAGCACAAAGTAGTGCAATTCACAAAAATAAACACAACAGCTGCTCCAATGCTCATATCCCAGGGTCAGTAGTCCCATAACGACATATTTGATTACTTCTACAAAACAACAGATCTTTCAAATTTTCCATCATGATGGAATTAAAATTAACTGGCACATGCAGTTAAAATGAAGTTAATGTTAATGTACAGTGATGTTGTCTTTCTCAGTACAGATTCCATGAGGGAAAAAAAAAAAAGATAACAAATATTATAAAACCATTCAGTCTAGCCACAGCTGACAAAGCAGATGGGTTATTTGCAAAAGCTCCCGTACTTTTACTTACATTTAAATGTGGTTCCAGCATGTCAACCTAGAGTATTTTATTTCATTTTTCCATCTCAAAATTTCATTTGCCTCTATTTAACTATTATGGGGCTTCACTCTTCCAAAATCTGCCAGGTGGCACATAGATGCATCAAATGTGGAGGATTTTATAAAAGTTCTGACTGCAACCTGAAGAAACATATCGAAAATTCTAGATGTGCAAACTGTAGTGACGAAATGCATCCTGCATCCTACTGTGGATATTAAAAACTTCTAGCAGTCAAAAATCAGAATAAATTGGCATAAATAAGTCCTGGAAAAAGTTTCACATAAATTGTCAGCAGTATAAGCCAAATGGAAATAATAAACAAAATATGGCTCTCAAAGTTGCAATTACAACTAATTCTAATAAGTTCTTTAATAATTTTAATAACCTTATAAATGTCAATAATCATAATTGTTATAGCAGTTTGCACTCTTAATATTTTCTCACATTTTATGAATGTGATAAATATAATGATCCAATTTCTACAGCTATTTGGTGCTAGTTACCCAGAATTTTAAAAGCAAGCTAAATGCTATGCAGCATGCTGATGATATAGTTCTAAAAATTAATATTTTTAACTCATCAGTGAAGAAATAAATGTGCTAAAAATTATGCATAATTATTTACTATAATAATTTTAGAATTGTAACAAGAAATGCAAATGGATTCCATAAAATCTACTAATGGAGGTAACTTATGGATGAGTATAGCCCCGGCATTCTCTACCTCTCAAAACATAATATTTGGTGCAAATTTTAAATTCAGCATTCATAATATGAAGGTTATCAAACAATGTTGATTACATCAGACCAGTAATTCTGAACCTTCTTTTTTTTTTTTTTTTTTTTTTTTTTTGCGGCACACTTTTAACGATTTCAAAATTTGGCGGCACACAAAGAAAAAGATAAGTTTAAAAAATGTTTACTTACCTATAATACACTGGGCAAAATAGTTTATGATAATAATTTTTAATGTAAAATAAAATAATATGTACTACAAAAAAGCAGTATGTTTATTAAGGGATTAATTAGAAGTTTATAATAAGAATACTTTTAATGAGAAATTTTGAACTTGGTGTTTTTTAATAATTTCATTTATATTTATTTGTTCGTAAAAATGACAATGCTACTCTCATATTGTCTTCTACATTAACCATTTCAATCTTTTTTTTTTTTTTTTTTTTTGTTGTTGTTGTTGTTGTTTTTTTTATGTTGGTTAATACTGAAAATCCAAAATCATACAAATAAGATGTAGAAACCTGTAATAATATTTTTAAAGCTTTTTTTGGCCATCATGGAATAATTGCATCTAATATTAATCCAAAATTAATTAATTGATTCTTCTGAATACTTTTAAATTAAATCTCGATTATTAGAAAGCGAAATTAGTTCTTCCTCTTCCTTCAAAGTTAATTCAAATACAGAAGTATTCGGCACCAAAATCGGCTTGGATACCAAAATTGGCACGTTTATTAATGTGTTAAAAACTGAATTTCGCCAATTCTCATGTGTACCTTATTAAACCCATTATTATTATTTTCATGTGTACTGGATTAAACCCACTATAATTTTTTTACTACATACATTTCTAAAATTTGGCGGCACACTTTAAGAATTTGGCAGCACAACAAAAGTGCCACGGCACAGTGGTTGAGGATCACTGCATTAGACAATCAAGACACTATGAAGGTAGGGGGCCTGATGGTTTTACAGAGCACTTCATTCCTCATAATCCTATAATATTGCCACAGTTTTCAACCATTTAACTCTAGTTATTTCTATCATTTCACACAGCTCAACACCAGTCCCCATTATGTCTATCCACATTCTGTCAAATGAAAGATCCTATCAAAATGTCAAAACCAAAATTGCAGTCACTTGTACAACTTAATAATCATATCATAATACGTGGGCCCACCAGCGGCCAAGCGGTAAAGTTGTTGAACACTGGTAGTTTGCTCCGAGGTTCGAATCCCGCGAACGGGCTGGCTGCATATTCATTTTCGTGGTTTTCCTCATGTGTAACGTGTATACAAGCCAGTTTCCCTTAGAAAGTCCTCCACAAAGGCATCCCTCCCCTTAGGCAGATAGCCCTCGAGGCTTTGCCATAATTACACACACCCATATAATATGTGGATATTTTTAATGCTATGTATGTCAAAACTGCTTGCGGAAATGATGTGTACCTGCGAAATATAATTAACCATTTTGCCAATTTAGCCAGTTTTGTAATTCCAGCTCTATAATCACCAACATGTTACAGTGATACTTCAGTAATAATAGTGGGTTTTTATTTACTCTGAGGAGTTCAAGGCACTCAGCAAATTATTCTTCAACTACACTCCTGTAATTTATCAATGCATATATTTAAGGTCAAAACGCATCACACAAACAACTGGTGACAATAGAACCTTTTGTCACTAATTGGTTTTATCAAAGCTCTCAACAACACTCACTACTCTATACCATAAGTTGAGAATTAGATAGATGCTGTACACCAAGGATGTCAAACTCATGGCCCACAACAAATATTTTTGCGGCCCAGCCAATATAACGGCAAATAATAATATATAATAATAAAATAACCTATCGACGAAGAAAAAAATGAAATGTTTACTGCTAAGTAATTAACGATAATTTATTCAGTGTTGTTAGATTACTCACAGCGAGCTGACACACACACTACTTAAATTACAAATGCATGTGAGTAGCTTGCGTTCAGCTACCTTCGGCTTTTGTGGGACACGTGCACTCAGAAGTTGTACGCCTCCCCCGATAGCAGAATGTGGCCGAACTCATGGTTTCAGTTTTGCAATCATAGTTTTGTACGATATATTGGTGCATGCATAAGCATGCACTTTGCTTTATTATTAATTATTACTTAATTCATATTGTTACAGATTTCATAGTTATTTATTTAGTTAGTTTTTTTAATTTAGAATTGTAATTAGATTTGCTTCATGTTGCCTTAGCAACGCAGACGATTTTTGAAAAGACAGCTGCATTGGAAGGTTAAAAATAGAACAGCGCGTGCATTTAATACCTAATAAATAAATAGCTCGTAATTGCTGTTGCCATACACAAAAATCCAGATATTTATAGATGTATCCAGTATATTCGAGAAATTAATTATAAAGCTTATTAAAGCCGAGAACAAACAACTCATCTCAGTAGTAGCTGTAGTTCTAGCAAACTGTTTGTTTACTTAATGCTGTGATTGATTTGTAGCGATTTTGCTGTGAGATAGAATTAGTTTCTCTGTTTTGAATTGATTTTTGCTAAATGTTTGACATTTTGTGATATTGTTAGAATATTTTTGAAGAAATATTTCAGCATTTTGATTTATCTCTTGTGGAAAGAATAAATTTTTGTTAACTTTTTAACATTAATCGTGTTTATTCCATCCCTTTGTATTCAGTATGTCTATATCAAAACCAAGTGGTAGTAAAATTAAACGAAAAATCGCTGACGAACATAGAATATTCCAAGTAAAATGGAAATTAGAATATTTTTGCTGTGAAATAAAAGATAAAATAATCTGCTTGATATGTAATAATAATACTAATGTACCAAAGTTATATAATATTAAACGTCATTAAGAACAACACAAATCGAAATATAACAATTACGAAGGATTAATGAGAGATGAAAAGTTAAAAGAGCTCAAGTTAGGAGTGAAAAAGCAACAGTCCATGTTTAGTAAAGTATTGCAAGAAAGTGAAGCAGCGGTACATGCAAGCTACGTCTTGTCCGAGTTGATAGCTAAACATTCGAAGCCTTTTACTGACGGTGATTTCATCAAGGAATGCCTAATGAAAGCTGGAGAAATTGTTTGTCCTGGAAAAGTGAAGGCTTTTCAATCAATTTCATTGTCTCGAAATACAGTTCGGAAAAAGTTACTGATTTAGCCACGAATTTAAGTGATCAGATCAAAGCAAAATCATCTAGTTTCGAAAGTTACTCCATTGCCTGTGACGAGAGCAGGGACATTAGTGGCAAAGCTCAATTAGCAGTGTTTCTTCGTTCTTGTGACAAGAATTTTAACATTTTTGAGGA